ACTAAAAAAATATTTAAAAGTAAACTATAAATAATAATCCATAAATAATATTAGATACTATAAATTCTTTGAAAGACTTAAAAAATTTGTAGCGAGTAGTAGCATCGAGTGGTGGGCCTCAAAAAATGCACTATTCAGTGAGAATTCTTTTATGGCTTTGATTTCGCTAATAGAATTTAGATAAAATAAAAAGAACAATAAATACCAATCTCTAAAGAAAAAATATTTATTCTATTCTAATAGACCCCTATTTTTCTCAGTACACCCTTGCCCAATAACCACCATATGTTGCTTTTCTCACACGGCGCAAGTTGGCTCTAAAAATAAGTATAAAATATTGGTAACAATGAAAAAAAATAATACATATGGCCTGGAATACAAACGGGCATCATTATTCCAGGCCATACATCATTCAAAAAATAAAATTGTATGTTGTAATTTTTGAAAAAGAATTGAAGGATTCACATAGCAAGTGCTAAGAGGCAGCTCCTACTATATCAAGTATACGCCCTGGTGTACGACGACAAGTTTCAATTTCAATTTCGTTGGGACTCTGGACTATTTTTAATTATGGCAGTGTCGGAAACTCTTTGGCAGAGTTTGTTGTTTCCTCTTCTTCTCTTTAGATTTTTTTTCTGTCACATTTTCAGGGCACACATGCCACGCCTCTTGGTGCCTAACGCCCACGTCCTTTTTTTTGGCTCTTTATGTGAAGTTTTTAATTAACTGCCTTACAAAGATTTTCCTTCTTCCGGTAGGTATTTTTTTTTTATTTATTTTGTGTCGTTTTTGGAATGGCCTGGTCGGTTCCCGCAAATTGACTTTTTTTTTTTGGGGGGAGCTAGGGAGCTGACTGGGTTCCTACTTTGTTGGATTTTTGGTTTTTTTTTTGCTAGCTGGCGGAATTTAATAAGCCAGAAATGCCGCCGCCGAACCGAAATAAATTTGAAAAATCAGCAAACTGGTGGCGTTCGCTAATTAAAGTCGTCCCCTCTCACTCTTGGCTATTATTTTTGACTCCCTCTTGGTCTTTTTTGGTATTTTTTGCGTCAGGAACTCCCTCTAAAATGCTAAAAGCATATGGCCACACCCACACAGCCCACAGCCCGCAGCTAATGACAAATGGTTGTCAGTTTGTCAGTTCTATTTTTTTTTGTCAGGCTGCAACAACTGCAGGCGACTCTACGAACAGAAAGAGATGGCCATAAAGGACAGGGAAAGAGATGGACAAACTTTTTTTTTATTTGGGAGCACCTATTTTCAGAGGCCAATAGGGCAAACTATGGAGTTCTTTTGAAATGAATTGGAAGTAATGAATGGTGGGGTTACAAAAAAAATTATATATATATATAGGTATGTGTGGGGAGAAGTAGAGCCGGAGCCAGCAGCTGGCTTTGCCTGTGCAATTAACTGTAAAAATGCTGTCACAATATTTAAAAGTTTTAATTGTTTGTTCAATTGCAATTGCAATTTCAAACTGGCGCCCAACTTTGCACTTTGTGTTTGTCTCTCTCTCCATCTCTCTATCTCTATCTCTGTCTGTGTCTCTTTCTATATTTGTGTTGTTTTAAAGTTGATTCGCCAAAAGTTAAATAGAAAAAAAATGAATTCAAAATGAAAAGTGCAACTTCTCTGACTTTTGTTGCAAGTACAGACATAAAAAAAAAAAAAAACCAAAAAAAAAAAGAATAATTTAACATGAATATATCGCATTTCATGGAGTCATACATCAACCAGCAGGCTGCTTTTCGGAGGGTAGGTAGGGGAGGTGTGGCCGGCGGCAAGTGACAGCACTAACATAAACCACAATAATATCCAAAGTCATGAAGGAAGTAACCAAGTGTGAATTTTCGGTTTATGCCTTGCGAACCCGAGCGTTGCTTGCTTTTCCCTCCGCTTTTCCGCCATTTCCCACTTTTCCTCAGGCGATGTTCTTTCTCCCTTCCTGTTCCGGCCTGGGTCAGGATTATATGTATATCGTTAAACATACCTATATATATAGTTATAGTGGTGTATATATTTAGGTTCTAACTCTAGGCCATGGTGGCTTTGTTTTGTTCACTTCTCTGGTGAAACTGTTTAGGAACTAAGATGTTTAACAATAATTTAGTTTTAACTTTAAATGGTTTTATTTTAATTTTTAAAGGAAATTATATATTTAAGAGATTTTTTTAGTATAATTCGATTTTTTTAATGTAGAGATTTTTTTGGTACATTTTTAAATAATTTAAAATCATATCCAGAATACTTGGCATGATCCTAAAAAGAAGAGTTTTAGGTTTAAGATCATGGCTTTTAGCTTTAAAATAAAGTATACACATGTAGATATAGATAATATTACCGTCTTTATTAAAATAATTTAAAAAAAATCAACCATGAAAGGTCTAAAAAAAAAATACAAGCTTGAAAATACAATACAATAGAAAAATACAAAGCATGCAATTCGTCACCTTGTGTTTTGTCATCTACAGAGATACTAGTATTTCTCCTATTTTAAGTATAATATGGAATATGCTTTTTGGTATATCTCTTTTATTTTATTATTATTATTTATTATTTTATTTTCTTTTATTTTAAGTATTTTATTTCCTCTTATTTAAATATATTCTTTCAGTCTATTGCATAAAAAAGAAGGACTTTTGATAAAAATATCTTTAAAAATAAACAAATTTGTCTTTAAAATATTAAACTTATAGTTATAGTAATAAGAGTATATTGTTATATTATTTTTAGTGTTTTATTTTAGTATTTAAATCATATCTTGTCTACAAAACCCAAACTTTCGAAGGCAGCGCACAGTGTCGGACTCATTGTGGCTTGATTCCTGTATTTTTTTTTTTCTGTTTTTTTCTTTTCGAGTTCATCCGGTGGTCCGGGCGCCCCCCTTTCCATTTCGCTGCCCCACCGCCACTGGCCGCTTGGCTGGGCACCCCTTGCAGTTGTTTTATTTGCGCTTCCGTTTCGCGGACAGTTTGCTTTGCTGTTTTTACTTCATTTCTTTCCTTTTTTTTTTGCTCCATCTTTTTCGCTCCCCATCTAACTGTCTCTGTCTATTTTATTTTTTTTTATTTTTTTGTCTTATTTTTTTTACGTAGAACAGAAAAATGTTGCAACAAAACATTTACGACGTCATCGTTTCACAATTTTTGTGTTGCGACTCCCCAGCAGTGCCCCCCTCCTGGTGGCCCAGAATTCTTGTTGTTCTGCTTGGTGTGTTTGTTGTGTGTGTGTGTTTCTTGAAATAAAAATTGTTGTTGTCGCTCTGGTTCTTCATGTTGTTGTACAAGGCCCGACGCCTGACGCCTGACACCCACGCCGCCTCCGCCCACCCGTAGTGTTGCAAAAAAAAAAAAAAGTGGCAAAAAAAAAAAGGAAGAAAATAGTGGTAGCGGGGAGCCAAACCTTGTGTCATTTATCATGCATTTCCACTTTTGGCTTCCGTCGACCGGGACGTGGCCCGCACAGACAAATGTACAACGACAGGCGGACAGACGGACGGAGAAATGGACAAGCGGACAGGCGGACAAATGGACAAGCGGACGGACAGTAGGGGGAGCCAAGAAAAAAAAGCAGTTGTAATAAAAAAGGGAGCCACCCAGAGAATGTGGCTTTAAAAAGTGAATGTTATCATTGAAAACATTGAGGGTTTTTTTTTAGATTAAAGGAAAGTTTTAAGAATTATTATTTTTAAATATATTTCTTAATCTAAAAATCTTTAAAGACATAGGGCTTTCGAAATCCATAAATAAATTCTTATTTTAACACGAATGGACATGTTTCTAAACTGCTTTCCTTTTATGCACTGCTTAGCTAAGCTCCAATAGAACTGCTTAGTCATACATGTACAAAAACAGACTAATTTCTCGTTATAGCTTAACTAATCAGAACTCAATTAAGAGAAAATAAATGGCAAACACTCCAAAACCTATAACCAGAAAAAACTGCCATACATTTCTGCCACAAAAATATCTAATTTATTGGCAAAAAAACGCAAACTAAAAACTCATATCTCATCAATTTTAATTGCCAACAGAAATTGTACATCTAATTAGTAAATAAAATGGCCAAAATAGGAATTCCATTTGCCATTAAAATTTATCATTCAAGCATACTGCTTACATATGTTGATTTTTCCTATTCAGTTTTCATTTAATTTGAAATAAATATTAATAATTTTAAGTACGCTTCAACTAGTTTGGGGGAGGGCTGGCGATTTCTATTTTTTAGGCCTATTCATGGGCTTGGTTTGCCGCTTGGGGCGGCATTGTGGAACAAATGGAAAAACGACACAAATCATAGACAGCCAGACGACCAATTTATGGGTTTTCATTTGCTGGACGATTTCCTTTCAAGCTTCTCCTTTTTCTGGCCAAAAAAGTTTCCATTTCCGGTTTGGAAAATGAACGGGAAATCTTTAAACGAAAATTGAAAATTAATCAAAACGAGCGGCACTTCTCTCTTCGTAACATTTTCCGCTACTGGCCTTTTTTGGTTAAAAAAAAAAGCACAAAAATCTACAGAGTTGCCAAGTCATTTGAGAAATTTGAATATGGAAATGTTTTCATCCCCCAGTTGGAGACTCTGTCTGGATGTGGATTGAAAAAATTATGAAAAAGTTCTTGAAATTGTTGGAAAAAGGGCAATTGATTAAGGGGGGGGTGGTCTCTGTGCAGGACCTTGACTGTGATGAAGTGTCGCCACCAGGAGGGCACACCGTCCACCATCATGAGTTGGCATTAAATTTTTTCTGAAGCGACAAGGTCTCTGAAAAATTGCTGGAGATTTCTAGTCTAAATGATTTTTATTATTTTACTTTGATGGAGTGACAGACTACCTAGAGCTGCAAACGATTCTACTTTTAGTGAATCGAGTAAATTCGATTCGATTCTGAAAAAGATCGATTTAAATCGATTTAGATCGAAAAAATAAATATATAAATATATATGCTCAAAAATTGTAGAGGAAAACATAAGCCTTTAAACAATAATATAAATACAGAGTTCTTGAGATCAACAGTTTTTTATTTACTTATTCTTATTAATTGTTATATTTCAGACAGCCATTGGTTTTTACTTGTGAAAACAAGTTTATCCACATTCTTAGCCTTTAAGGCTGCTCGGCGGTCAGTCACGATACATCCAGCCCTGCTGAAGGTCCTTTCTGATTCAGTTGAGCAAGCTGGAACACATAGGTTTTTTAAAGCTATTTTTTTGAGAGATTCCATCCTAATATCTTGCACCTGTAAGAAATATTTAGAATTGCAAATTAGACTAGATTTATCACAAAATGAAATCTAAACAACAAACCTTCCAATAGTCTAACGGGCTTATATTTGGCGTCGCGTGGTTGGCTTCTAAATATTGTCGGAGCACAATAATGGCATCCGACATTGGGGTTTTAATTTTATTTGCAATTTTGGATTGCATAAACGAAAAGTATGCGTTGTTTTCGGTGTGTGTTGGTGGTTCAGATACTTTAAGGTTGGTCATTCCGGCCATTTCTTTGCGGATGGCTTCCACTGCCGAGTCCGCATTACTAGCGCTCCGAAATGCCTCCTTCTTAAAACGGGGATCCAACATTGTGGCCACCTTTGTTACAGAACGTCCCTCATACTCAAAAAGACGACGATTGATCCCATTCAAAAGGGCGTTTCGAACTTCGAAACCTTCAGTTGTTTTAATTAAGTTATCCATGGAACTTAAGCGATGATGAAGATCTGCCGATACGGGAATGATTAGAGAGATCGTTTCGTAGGTGCTACCTGATACGCGATTGGTTGCTTCATCAAACGGACCAAGGATATACTCCAAGTCTGTTAGGACAGATATTTCTTCGGCCGTTAATGGTGGAGGTGCTTTCATTGTCTCCAGTAACACCCGAGAAACAGCATCTCTAATCTTTAGAATGCGAACTATCATTTTGTGGCAACTGTTCCATCGTGTTGCCACTTCTTGAACGAGACCATAACATTCATTGTTAGTCTGGGCCGTTTTCAACTTTGCATATGCATTTGAACTAGATTTGAAAAAACCTACGATTCGCTTGCATTTGGATAATACGTCCTTAACGCTTTCACTGATCAGTGCATCTTGCACTATAAGATTCAACGTGTGCGCAAAGCAAGGCAAGTGACGTTTCTCTAGCAAGGTGCAGGCTTTGATCATTGAAGACGCATTGTCTGTCACTATTGACGTGACTTTATGAAACAAGTTCCAATCGACCAGTATTGCTCGTAAGGATTCCGCAATGTTCTCAGAGTTCTGGTTAGTCTCGCAAAGTAATTTATTGGTTGACAGGACGGCACTTTTTATTTGGAATGTATCGGTCACGAAGTGGCAGGTCACAGTCAAATAGTGGTCATTGGCACGACTTGTCCAACCATCAGTGGTTATTGCACAATGACTTACATTTTCCAGCATTACATTAAGTTTTCTCTTCATCTCTCCATACAGGTTTTCCAAAAGAACCGAGCTTAATGTTGTTCTACTTGGCAATACATACTGGGGATCCAAGCACCGGACAAAATTCCGAAATCCGGTGTCCTCCACAACACGAAACGGCTGCAAATCTGTTGCAACCATTTTCATTAGAGCCTCGTCCAATTTCGCTTTTCGTGTTGACCCCAAAGCATCACCCTTGGTGGTAGCCACATTCAGAAATGAACCCAGGGTTTGCTCGGACTTTGGCGTTGTGATCGTGGTTGGGTGTGATCGTTTCAGGTGGTTTATTAAATTTGTTGTGTTCCCACCTGTTTTATATACTTGACTGCACAGCAGACACTTTGCACTGTTTCCTTCTAATTGACTGAAGTGTTTCCAAACGTAAGAACGGCATTTTTTTTTGGCAGCGGGCTCGTTTTCCTTTGCAGAGTCTTCTTCCGCGCAGCTGCGCTTTTCTAAAAGTTAAAAAAGACATGGTAATACAAAATCTTCGTCATATATGTATATGTATATGTACCTGGTAAACGAAAAAATGAGCTCATCCTTACTCGTCCTGAATCCACACACTGAATCTAAAACTGTTAAAAAATCATTACTTTAAATGAATTATATTACTTTAAAACAATTTTTTCGTTTACTTACATTCTTCTCGCCTTCCTTCGAAAATTTCTTTGTTAAAGTGACAGATTGCTCGATGCATCGATTCACTAAAGTAGGAATCGATGTTCTCGCTCAACTCAAAAACATCGATGTAATCGATTTAAGATCGAATCGTTTGCAGCTCTAAGACTACCTTGACTTCTAGGATATAGAACCCCCCCTCCCATTAAAATATCCATAATATTAAGTGTGTAGTGTATATTTACTGGCGAAAGCAAACAGGCTCTGTACAAACACATCACATGTGATATTCAAACATTTCTAGAAAATCATTACAAGTGTAGAAAAGAAAGCCAAACAGCAGTTGCTTCCTATTTCGGGGTTGTCTTGAAAACGCTTCTTGTTAATATTATCATTGCGAGAATAATAACAGTGTATCTTGATTTGTGGTCGAGGATTGACCTTTGTGTAATAGTGTTGACTTAGTTTTCCGCTCCAGTGTTGACAGTGAGAAGATCAGGTTTGCAGAGATATCAAATCATCAAATTGCAACATAATGGCGATCAACAAAACATTATGTCCCATTATGTTGCAACTAGTGAGCTAAGCTAGTGAGGCTTAAGGGTAACAAGAGAGTGTGTCCATCGTCAGAATCATTTTGAGAATCATAGTGGTCAGTTCAATGGTCGAGATCTATAAACCATTGACTTGACGGATGTATAGTGTTGACATAAGTAACATTAACTTCCAAATTTTTCATCAGTATTATCCTACATCAGCATCATTCAAATTCAACAGCTCAACTTGAACATTGCCGTACTACGTCTTATCGTAGGCTTCTAAACTCTGTAGTAACTTTCAAAATTTCTCAGCGATATAGAATTCTTCAGTTTCCATCAAAATCCATTAATTTCCGTCATAAACTGTGGACCATCGAGCTTAACACGATCCGAAGGGGATCCATTTAGATTCATTTCACGATACATATTACTAGTGTGAGCATAAAACGTGTTTATATGCCTCCAGTGTGACCTAAGCTCGGCGAACAGTGTGCCCGTTCTGCTAGAATCTAGCAAGAACGCGGCATCACAACGGTAAAGTGTTGAAATTGTAGCTCTCGTGTCTGGGGGTGTACTGTTCTTCTTGGCTCGGTATCAGCGTTTTCATACTTTTCCATTTCCTCAATTTACGGTTAACTGTTAAGGACGAGGCGTGTCCTTGCTCACACGGCATTAAGTGCAATTTTTTAGTGTCTATAACTGCTCCTCCTTTATGGCAGCCTGTGCTCCGGGCTCTTCACCCTCTTCGTCGTCATCGATGACTATGATGTCCATGATGTCCATGATGTCCACAGTATGGCCGTCGAAGTAGATGTTATAATCCATATCGTCTTTATCCTCTGGCTCCTCCTTCGGCTCTTGCGGCTCCTGCGGCTCCTGCGAATTCTGGATATACTCCTCACGGGTCCTTGGTACGAAGATGCCATTGAGGCGTGCCTCCTCGCTTGACTCCAACGCCTGCTGACGGACTATGTCCTCGTACTCCGTATCCTCGCCCCTGCTCTCCCGCCAGCGCCTATACATGCCAGCGGCCTCCACATTAGCAGGGGACATGGTGTTCGGCTCGTTCAAGAGCGAAATAACCGACAGGAGAATGGTGCGAACGCTCTGGGCGGGATTCCAGCGCTCGCACGGCAATTCTCCGCCGACGGAGTCGTCAGTGGGTGGATGCAGTATCGAGATGCATAGCATCCCGCTGGTATACACGTTGGGATGCCACACCTTGGTCTCGAAGCACAGTGTGGGCGGGTAGTACGGGTAGTCGGGGGGAAACTTCATTCGCGCCTTGAAGTAGCCGCCCTCGTACAGGGTGTCGGGCGGCCCGTAGATACCCACCGCCCATTCGAATAGGTTGTTCTCATCGACCAGGGCCACGGTGAAGCCCTCCACCATCTGGTCCTGAAGGCGTTTGTACTCGAGGGCCAGTGCCCTCTTGGCCATTTCCGAGCTGTAGGCCATGTCGCTAGCAGGTCACGGTAGTTTTCTAGAAAAAAAATTAATTTTTTTTTTTGTAAATTTTGGCTGAAATATTTTTATTTTCACAAATTTTTATTTACTTTTTAATTTATATATATATTTTTTTTGACACTTGATTTTTGGGCGAAATTATTATTTTTTCACTGATATTTTTTTCGGAATTTAAATTTTATTTTGTATTAAATTTTTTTGTGTTACTCCGCCGAGCTCCAGGACTGGAATGAATAATAGTTTGGCGTTTGTTTAGGACTCCAAAAATTGAAAAGTTCCACAGCCTACTTGATTTTAGAAATATTTTAACTTTTCGATTTTATTTTATTTATTCAAATTATTTTAATCGTTTATCGATATCTCTCTATTTGCAGAACAATAATATTGTAACAACACTTACTCCAGCTATGGGCTTGTCATCGATGAGCAACAGGATGGCGATCCTGACCCTGGCGATCCTCGCCAGCTGCGGCTACACCGTGGATGCCTACTCCAGTGCGTATACTTGATATTTCTTTTATTTTTTTCTGGAACGACTTGAAGATCCAGATTTTAGTTTTTATTTTTTTCTTTAAAAAGTATTTTGTCTAGAAACGTCTTTCTAAAAAAAAACCAAAAGTATTTCCTTTCCAAGTAAAAAAATTCATGCCTTCATCAAAACTCCATCATTGTCATTTGAGATATAAGATACCCAAGTAATTCCAATTCTTAAGCAGGTTTTATAATTTCCAATATTTTCGTTTTCTTTTATTTTATTTTTATGTCTATGATTTTCAACCTAAACAACCTGAACAACCTCTCAACAACCAACATATACACTAAAACCACAAAAAATACCAAAAAACAAAAAAAAATACTATATAAAAAATATAAAGAGTACGGTCGTGGATGCGGCGATATCGGTTGCTTGCCAACCGAGGAGTGCATCATCACCAGCGATTCGTGCAGCTACAACCAGAGGGATGGCAAGGATTGCGGCAGCTATCCGACCTGTAAGCGCAAGACAGGATCCACCAACAGCAGCCCCAACTCGGCCTCGCCCTCGGCCAATCCGTCAGGTATTTACGAAATGGATACTCTCTTACCTTTGAATTTCTCATTGTGCGCCCCCGCCTGGGCGGAGTTGTCGGGCTGAGCTTATATATCTTTCGGATTGGCATCGTGTTTGGTTCCCAAAAAAAAAAAAAACAGAAACATTAACTGTTACGATAATGATGGGGCCTTAAATCGGTGGATAAGCGGGTCTAGAAAAATGAGCCCGACTTCGGTAACCGAAGATCTTGGATGGGCAGAGTTTTCTAAAGGAATTTCTTTAAAGATTTTTATACCTAATTTTTATACCAAAAGAAAGAACTCTGCCTATCTAATGAACACAAAATCCAAAAAACAATCAAAAAATGTTATTTTGTTGTGTTTCTAATCTCCTTTTATGTTGGGCCCTTATTGTCTTTGTTTTACGATCGGTTTTATGCCTTTTTGTTGTTCGACCAAAAATCGTTGAGTCAAGAAAGTGTTTTTAATTTTTGTAAGGCGATCACACACACACACAAGCACACAGCCTTAAACACACACTCACACACCTTGAATAACCACAAAAGCCACTCCACCTGCACACCACCACCACCACCACCACCACCACCACCACAGAAAACTAAAAAAAACACACACACACCACACTTCAACACTGCTTTTTGCCAACTCAATCAATTGAACAATCAATCAATCAAACAACCCAATCAATCAACCAATCAATCAATCAATCACTCGCTCGCTCGCTCATTCATCGCCTCATTCGCTCTAAATGGCTTCCAAAGTACTCAACTGAATGCTAAAATGCTAAAAAAATGCACCACCAGGCCAGCTGCTAATGTCCGGCGAATGTTTTTCTCTCAAAATAATATTTTAGATTAAATTTAGATTACAAAATTTTGTTTAGATTTATAAATTTTCTAATATTTGAAAATAATATACCTAAAAGGGCCTTTAGGTCATACTTAAAAAGGCCTGAGCAGCACAAAGATCTTTTAATTTTTATAACAACTATTTTTTTCTAAGCTTTAAGCTTAATAATGTTTGAAATTTAGATTTTAAATATTAAACATTCAAGATACAAATTTATTTTCATTTTTTTTCAAAAAAAGTAGCTGTTTCTTGAGCTTAAAACATATTATTTGAAAATACAAACTCTACTTATTTTTTAGAAGAATTTTAAGAAACATTTCCAAGCTTCAAAATAAAATAAGTTTTTTTTAAAATTTTCATATTTTATAATATAATATTCTCTACAATATCCTCTTTTTTTAAGCCTCTTTAAGCCCTCAAAACTTACTATTTAAACTTTAAACAAATCCCTTAAAATAACGCTAATTCTTCAAAGGCCTTGAGTCTAACTTTCTGGCAATATTTCTTTGAAATTTAATATCTTTTTTTTATTAGGCTCCAATTATTAATATTTTTTTCACACACTGAGAGAAAAACGTAGCTAGCTGGGCAGTATGATGGCCAATCTTAAACACTCTTAACTAAAAACCAACCATTGCTCTTTACTTTTTTTTTGATGTATGCCTTTCATCTCTCGCTGGAAACCAAAAAAAAAAAATACAAAATACTAACCACTAACAGGATCAAGCTTGGGCCAAGGACCCGAGAACAATATCTTTGCACCCGCCTCATCGAATCCCACGCTAAATACTTACACCTACAACAATAACCACCAGTCGAACGGTGATGGCATTTCCGGAATGGGAATGAACGGAAACGGTAACGGACACGGCCATGGCCATGGGAATGGCAATGGCGGCGGCAATGGCGGGGATCGTGATCGTGAGAGAGACAAGAATAGCAACAACATGAATACGGCGGGAGCAGCGGGTGCCAGTTCCACGGGCATTATCGATCCGCATTATGTGTTCGGGGCCAAGCACCATATGCCCATCATACCCAATATGCCCATCTTTCCGTACAACTCGCCCACGTCGGCGCCCTCGTTCCAGCAATTCCCCCAACCCAATCATCCAGGCAGCGTCCTCAATCCCGGATACCCGATGCACGGCCTCCAGCCGGTGAACCCGTACAATCCGCCCTTCGTCTTCGGCCAACAACCATTCTACGGGGGACCGACCGGCGGCACTGGCGGCAGCGGCGTCGGCGGTCCGCCCGGCTCTGGGGGCGGCGTCTCCGGCGGCGGCCTCGGACTGCCCAGCTCGACACTGGGCATCCTGGGCGGCGGCGGTGGCGGCCTTGCCCCCTACGGTAGCAACTATCAGGGCTACCAGAGCCAGCACTCGAATGCCAATATGTACAACAAGCCGCCGCCGCAGTATCAGAATCAAAACCAACAGAATCCCTACAACCGGCGCACCCAGGCGCATCCATCGGCGGCCGGGCATCTCGGCTCATCCCGGCCCGTCCTCGTTCTCCTGGCCATGGGGCTAATTCTTGGCCAGCTGCACACGTAATAGGCCAGAACGGAGCAGCAGTTTCAGTTTCAGTTTCGGTTTCGGTTTTAGTTTTCAGTTTCCGTAGATTGACTTGAAAGATACTACTATAATGCAGAAAAAACGCTACGACCACGATGTTACCCTGGAAAAATGCGCAAACCATGAGATCACAAAGCTTAAAGTCCGGCAGCCATTTTCACTTGAAAAAGAGAGTTGTTTTTATAACTTATATTTAAAAAAAAACGTATAAAAGGATATATATTTGATTGAAAATAGCATACCATATTCTTAGACCTTCATTTTTCTCAATATTTGAAAGAACTAAGTTCGCTGACCAAAACATACCAAAATGTATGAATTTTAATTCTTAAAAGTGTTTAAAAAAAATGTCTAAATAGTTCAAGAATTGTTATTGTCTTCAAAATGCTATGCCTTTAACTTGAGAAAACAATCTTTTAAAATTTCAAAAAACTTAATTTTCAACTCTTTGTACCGAAATTTAAAATCTTCAACAAAAATGCTTTAACATGAAAAGTTTAAAGTTAAAACTTCAAAGGTGGAACAAACGCTTAAATGTTCTATGTTTTCTTAAAATTTTAAGCAGAAAAATTGGAAAATTTTCAAAAAATATTGAATTTCAAACATATAAGCAACCAGTCAAGATATTTCATTACAAAGAAGATATTTTAATAAATAATTAAACCAAAAGAACACAACAATATCCCATTTGAAACACAAAACTTATGAATAGTGACAAAATATTGGCAAAAATGTAAAAACAAGAAGATCTAAATAATGCAATGAAATATCTACAAAAATATCTTAATACAAAACCTTTAAAAAAAACATCAAGGTTTCAACTTGGAAACTTTATTTTAAACAGGAAATAAGGACAAGAATAAATGCATAACATTTCCCAACCAAACAAGTGAAAATGGAGTGCCCTTCTGCGAGTTAAGCTTTTTATTTTATTTAAACCTATGATTTGAATTATTGTTTTAAACTTAAACCATTGATTGATATTTAATATCTGTTTTCTTTGTCGAATTTTGTGCTAAAAAGCAAAAACAAAGTGGCAGTGACAGTGGCAGTGAGTACTATAGCTATGTTTCGGCTAAAAAAAAGAAAAAAAGTACTTAATATAAAATATGTGTAGTTATATAGTTTTTTTAACAAACTATCCCTATTTCATGGCCCTTTAGGCCAGTTTAGTATTTTAATTACAGAACCAATTTTGGGTTTTTATTTTTTTTGGCCTGTCTGGCACACACTTCGTATACGTAATTTCAATTTAATATTGTTGTACAAACACAACAGCAAAAAGCAGAAAAGCAACAAACAAAAAGAGATTAAGAGAGTAGTGAGTAAAAGGGGGAAGGAAAGGGGAATGGAGTTCATTTGTCAGTCAAGAGGAACTTTCATGGCGGCCCTCGTTCCCAAGAGGCAAGCTGGCTGGCTAGCTGACTGGATGGCTGGATGGCTGCTCTTTTTTGCAGCTCAATTAAATTGGAATTTAATTTCGGGCTTAGACAGGAAGCCTCCGGCCGGATGGTGAGAGCCTCCCCAGTCAAGTCTGACCACTACACACATGCCCAGACACAGATACAAAGATGGAAAGATACACAGATACACGGACACTACATGGCTGTGCATGGCGGCATGCCTGGTTGGGCAACTTTGATGTTAATTTCATTTTTTTTTTTGTTTTTTTGATGCTACGAATTTGCGGTCAGTAGTTCCGGAAATTCCAACGATTCTACCAAATTTTTAGCCGTTTAATGTTTCGCTGCCACTGCCACTGTCAGATACTTAGATGGATAGTGTTGTGTAGATACAAGATACGCATGTCAATCAAAAAAAAAAAAAATAAAAAATAAATATTAAAAATGCATAATGAGCTACATTTCGTAAATACAAAAAAAAAGAAATGAGAAAAAAACATAGTGAAGATGGGAATCAGAAGCCACCAAGTGAGCTCCGATTCGAAGAGTGTGTGTAAGTTTTTTTTTTATGCCCTCGATACATAATGGGAGTACGAATAAATAATTACAATTAATCAATGAAGCAATTTAAATGGCATTTTAAAAATCGAAACTAGCCTAAGGTGTTTGAATCTTAAAACTAATAACTAAGTGCTGCAAAATGCAAACGAAAAATCAAAAAAAAAAAAAATAGAGAGATGCATTTACATTGCTACTAAAAACCAAAAAACGAAGGAAAAACTAAACTGCCACAGTAACAATACAAATACAAATATTAATTAAAAAGCCAAATGAGCCCCAAAAACAACTATTCACCACAAAAGTAAAGAAACTAACTGATTTTTATCATTTTCATTGGCCATCGAGACATATAGAGTTTGTTTTAATGATCAGTGCAGAGAATATTTACTCCGTCCGTTTGCAGTTTAATTTTTGGGACATAACTTGATTTGCAATATCTCTCTCTCTCTCAACCGGAATCATATGTAAGCAGTATTATAACATAACGGGGACTTGACAAACTAACTAAAATCATTACTTAAGATACAAGATACTTACTAATACCCTAACACAAACACACACACAACATACATACATACATCAAGACACATACAAAACGGGCAGCAAACAATAAGTATTCGAGTATTACTAATCAAAAAAAAAAAAAGAAAACAAAGTTGTAAATAGAATTACTAAGTGTATGAGTGTGAGGCTAAAAAACAAGAAAAAATATTAAAGTATATATATATTATAAAATTAATATACTAAAGGCAAAGACTTAACTTTAGCTTAAGGCCGACAAACTCAAAGTTGTGTAGATTTTAATGTTTAAAAAAAAAAAGAAACAAGAAAACAGAAAATCCCAAAACGTGGAAAGCAAAACTAAACTAAGTTTTTTATGTTTTTTTTGTTTGTTTATTTATTTATTTTGTTGTTATTTTTGTATCCTCCCGTTTTTTATGTTTCCTTCCGCTTTGTGGCTAACCCCAAAAAAAAAATCTGCTTGGATATGTACTGCTTTGCTGAAACTGCTTGCCTCTCAAAACGAAATTATGAAAAAAAAAAAACAAAAATAATAGAAGTGCATAGCCATAACTCATACGCCCCGAATGCCCCGAGTGCCCCGCTACCGGAGATGGGTGGTTACGGCGGTAATGGTGGCGGCGGCGGCGGCAACAATCTACCGAACGGCGGCAGCGGTGGATACGGTGGTGGCTTCTCGGCTGGCGGTCATTCCCTGTATCCCAGTCTACCCAATTCCGGCGATGGCGGCCATGCAGCAGCAGGTGGTGGCGGTGCTGGACCAGCTCCCTACAATCCCTATGGCGGCTATCAGCCTCAACAACCCGGCGGCTATAATCCCGGTGGCTACAATCCAGGCGGCTATCAGCCAGCCCCCGGCGGCTATCAACCACGTCCCGGCTACACTCCCCCGGCTCCGGGCTATGAGAATAACGGTGGTGGTGGTGGCGCCCAAAAACCCAAGGACAAGGAGGGCGGCGGCTTCTTCTCCAATTTCTTTTCGAATCCGGCGGTGAGTCAAGCGGTATCCGGTATTATTGCAGGCCAGATTGCCAAACAGTTGCAAGGCGGCGGTGCTAACGGAGGAGGAAGCGGCGGTGGAGCACAAGGTGGCTATCAGCCCAGTGGTGGCTACCAGCCCAGCGGTGGCTATGGAGGCGGTGGTGGTGGCGGCGGCAGCTCTTCTGGCGGCGGTGGAAGCAGTCTCCTAACCGGAATTCTTGGATCCGTTCTATCTGGCGGTGGTGGCGGCAATGGAGGCGGCGGTGCTGGCGGCGGTGGTGCCGGAAGTTTCCTGGGCAGCCTGCTCAGTGGCGGAAACAGCAATCGCGGCGGAAATTCCGGCGGTGGTGGTGGTGCCGGTGGTCTGGGCGAGATCTTCAATTCGAAAAACTTTGGTGGACTCTTCAGTGAGAATCCCCGGAGCTCCAGTTCCAATTCCGGTTCCGATTCCAACTACGGTGGAGCCAAGAGCTACCCCACCCAGGCTCCTGGCAATTATTATGGCTAACAATATCAATTTTTTTGCATCGATTTTTTTTTGGCAATATAATCAAATGAAGAACTTTCAACGAAATTTAACTCAAAAACAATATTGAAAAGCAAAAACAAGAATATGATGAATATATACAAGACAGCATAGGCATATTATACGTAAACTATAAATGATGATTATACAAATACGATACAATATATATACAAGAACGCATATATATATACATATACCCAGGCTGAAGAGAAAGCTGAACCCAACAGACAGACACACACGTAGCATTTCTCTCAGAAAACTTAAATTTGAAACAAAAACCAACAACAACCATTTGGAGTTCATTTGTAAATAGAAATAAAACTGAAATTATAAATTGAACATTGAGATAATATAAATATACGTAAGAATTGAAAGCCAGTTTAAACAAATTTTTTTCAGTTTGCCTTTTATTCCAAAAAAAAATTAAATAATATTCTAGGTAAGTTTATATTTTAAATAATATTGCAGGCATTATTTTACATCGTTAACACGATCATAACTTTTTAAGAGGCTAATGGCGGAGTGTAAGTAGATTTAAGCCAACTTTTTGAGCGTCTCGACACAAAAGTTCTTGAAAAGTTTTATTCTGCCAGGACTCGAATTGTGTTGCATTTCCCTTTCACCTGCCGACCTCTGGATTTTGTAGTGGACCACATATTCGTTCTGCACTTGGCAGTGGGCCACGCCTTCTCTTTTGAAAGTTCTGAATTTTGGGATTTCTATATTTTATATAAAATATTAATATAATTTTTTTTAATATTTCCTAATCTTATATTTTGTGCAAATTTTTATACCATTTAATTTCCTTCCCAAACTACGCCCCTGTGCCGAGCCGTTAGTGGCATTTTGTTGCAGTTGCCAGTGTGGCTGTTGCTAGTGTTGCTATTGCCAGTGTTGCTGTGGCTGCAACAATATATTATTCGCTAAGCTTCTCAACTATGCAGCCAAACACGTGGGTAAGTGGAGTGTGGGTAGACCGACTGGGTGGCCATTTGGCTTTGGCTCTGGTTAACCGACTACCGTTTTGTAATTTATTTAAGTAATAAAATAAATATATGTACGCTATACGATATACGTATGTATGTATGTACGTTGCGCACCTGCCTGGCTGAAGACCTGAAGAGGTCCACCGAAGAGCATGGAGAGTGCGGAGTGCACACACACACATGCCACATTGCAACGCAGCAGTAAGGACGTTCATATGTACAGGGCCCCTGGCCAACAAAAAGGAGCAAAAGCTGGAGTAGGACCACGAGCAGGACGAGAATCCAGAGCTGGATGCGTTAGTGGGTTTGTTGTCAAGCGAAAGAGCGCTTCAAGTGCTCGAAGCACCCACTTGGCCAAAGTGAATTTAGTGTCAAGTGCAGGAAAATGTGAAAAGCAGCTGCGAGTTAGTTTTTCATATTTAAGCAGCACTTCACCTACCAGCAGCAGCAGCAGCAGCAGCCAAAGCGGCAGCAGCCACACACTGATTCGTTGTCTATTCTAAACTTTTCGCCTCTCAAACTAATTTCATATTCCGGAAAATTTTCGAGCTTTTTCGGTTCTTGCTGATCGCAGGTATAGGTCCTCAGATTTATCAAACTTAATTCTTAAAACTCGGTCACATGGCTCGTTTTTATACCCTTGCAGAGGGTATTATAATTTTGTCCAAAAGTGTGCAACACAGTAAAGGAGACATCTCCAACCCTATAAAGTATATATATTCTTAGTCAGGATCACCTCCTGAGTTGAACTTCGTACAGATTATATTTTCGGTCGACTATATCTTATAGCGGCCATATAACTGAACGATTGGAAATGGTATTGGGTAAAAAAATAGAGCTTGGGACTTTTTTTTAGATTTGGTATTGCAATAAACTTTTATACTATGATATTCTGCATAAGTGTGCCAACTATATCCGATGTTTGTGATATATATCCGGTTTCAACTGCAAGGGTATATCAACTTCGGCTCCGCCCGAAGTTAGCATTCCTTTGTTGTTACATATTTTATTTGTTTATTTTATTCAAAAGTTTAAAAGTATATGATTATCTAAGAGTATAAGAGCTTACATCGCAATCGTCTTCATAATATTAGAAATAATATAATTACATTTTAGTGCATATTAAGATTACATTTTTTTTCTAAAAATGTTTCATTTTCCAAGTCCGTTAATAAAGGCTTTTTGTTTTCTTTAATTTGTTCTTCGGATGTACATGTAAATGCCATCATTTTCGGGGCTAACAGATGAATAAAAAACAATTTAATAATTATTTTAATTTAGTTATGGAGATTTCTAATTGGAGATGAAACGAAAGGAAAAGAAAGTTTGAATACACACCTCATACCAGGATTGAACCACCAGCCATAGCCTTCTTCATTCGCCAAATTACGACCAGGAACTCCATCCTCATCTCGATCGAACGTCGAAAATTTGGAGCCCGGCTTAGGGCTGATCCAGTCGGGTTCATTACAATTGGCAATACTTTTCACTTTGTAACCTTCGCTTCGGTCGCCCACAACAAAGTTGTCGCATCTTATCTCCATACTGGTGTATAAACGCACTTCATGAGGCTTTCCACTGATCAGACGGTGCAATCGATTGAGTCCAATAAAGAACTGACCGAAAAAATCAGTTTCGACATCGCCAAATCCACGTTCATAGTCTTCATACGTGCGATTAAATTTGTGTGATATAGGAACTTTTCTATAAACATTCAACCATCCAGATCCAACCTCCGAATCTGACCTACAAACCACTTCAAATGGGTCTGAGCCTGGTAGTTTGATTTCGCGGAGGACTCTGGTTTCTTTTTGGTCTCGTGGACAAGGGTCTGGGAAATCTAAATAGAATATAAAAATGTTATGTTTTATTTTGCAAATGATTGGGTTCTTCCGACTTACCTATGGTTTCTGTTTTGGGCGTCGTCTCAATATTAATATTAGGCAATGGAGTTGTTGGGACCTCCCCAGTTTCTACTTCCGACTTTGTTGGGTTATTTTCATGAATTCCTCCAATCTTGACTATTTTTCCCAACTTGGCAATTTCTTCGCGGAACTGATTAGTTAACGATACAAGTTCATTTTTTTCTTTTAGTTCCCTAATTTGATCTTTTAGGAGGCCGATTTCTATATTTTTCTGACTTATTAGATTGTCAACTTCCTGCTGCTTCGAATGCAACTGCGCATATTTAACTTTCTCATCACTAAGTTGGCTGAGCACTTCAGTGTATTTATTTTCCATTTCCAAATGTCTTTTCACCAAGTCCGAATAATCTTGTTGGCATTTTGATAACTGGGGATATTGTTTCAGACCCTCTTTCTGCAATTCTGTGTAATCAGCCCTGCACTTTAAGAGCTGCGCATCCCTCTCGTTACTTTTCTCGAAGTATCGTAGTAGAGGTTTCACGATCGGATAACAAACTGAGGCACATTCATCTTCCTGCGCTTCGGAGAGGTAGCATGACTGTGGAATTTAAAGTTGAATTAATTTTTGAAATAAGAACACTCAAAATAGGAATTACTTCTTCCGATCCCAGGGAGGCAGTAATTAGGAAACACGCAGAAAGGAGGGCCATTGGGAAGATCATCATGTATTTTTTTTATTGAACGTAACTTTATACTGAAAGAGTCTCTGAAAATATTGCAACTAATGCTGCGAGTCTTGGAGCTCCGGCTTTTTAAAGCCATCCTCGCCCATGAGCTTGAGCTTGAGACAGAGCTTCAGGTTCTGATAAGGAATTGGGGCATACCCTCACATATAGAAAAGCCGAAATATTTCACAGACAGCATGTGTACCGAAGGCGTGTCAAAGGTTATTGGAGATTAGAAGGAGGTGATTAGCAACAAGACCTGGTTTATGTTTTTAGCTTTTGGATTTTTGTCAAAAGTGTGCAACGCAGTGAAGGAGACATCTCCGACCTTATAAAGTATATATGTTCTTGATCTTGATCAGTATATATATTCTATATTCTGGATGACCTCCTGGGTTGATATGTGCATGTCCGTCTGTCTGTTTCTACGCGAACTATGTAGTCTCTCAGGTTTAAAGCTATCGACATGAAACTTTGCACACACCCTTCTTTCTTTTGCACGCAGTATATAAGTCGGAACGACAGAGATCGGCCGACTATATCCTATAGCCATATAACTGAACGATCGGAAATGATAGATAGAAGATAGAAGCTTGGGACATTTTGTCGCTTTATTGTAATAAGGTTATATTATGATATTCTCATAAGGATCTGCCAACTATATCCGATGTTTGCGATATATATCCGGTTTTAACTGCAAGGTTATATCAACTTCGGCTTCGCCCGAAGTTAGCTTTCCTTTCGTGTTTTATATAAATTTTAGGAAAATGACTTTATTTTTGTCAGGTTTTTATAATTTTTTTTAAAATCTGTTATACAATAATTGAAAATATGGTATAATCAAGGCCTAAAGAGGGTTAAATCGTAATTGCTATAATTGTGATATAATCAAGGAAAAATAAAGGTATAAACATGCCATAACATAAGGCAAAGATTTAATCAAGGCTTAGTCAAGGTCTGAAACGTTATGTTCAAGGTGGTTTTAAAATAGTTAATGGTATAAATACGGATTACTCAATAATCGAACGAAAAAATATATTCCAATGTCAATACGGACCTACGGATATATGTATGTACATAAGAAGCATATAATCGAAACAAGGGTACTCAATCCAAAGATAAGTTCACAGGCTACGGGCTGCAGGGCACAGGCTACAGCGTCTGCCTGCGGGTTACGGCGTAAAGCCTACGGGCTACGGCGAAGAGCGTACGGGATACGGGCTACGGGATACTCGCTACGGCTACGGGGTATGGGGTATAGGCTACGGAATACTGGCTACGGCGTACAGCCTACGGAGTAGGAGCTACAGACTACGGCATATATCCTACGGGCTACTAGCTACGGCGAATAGCCTACGGTGTACGAGCTACAGGTTACGGGATACAGGATACTGACTACGGCGTACTGCCTACGGCTACATGCTACGGGCTACATGCTCCGATGTACAGCCTTCGGGATACGACCTAAGGCCTACGGGTTACGGGATACGGGATTCTGGCTACGGCTACGGGTTAGGGCGTACGGGCTACGGGGAATACCGTTCGGGGTACGGAATACGGACTACGGCGTACGGACTGCGGGATACGGCGTACGAGTTATGCGGTACAGGTTACAGGATGCTGGATTCAGGCTAGAGCTACGGGCTACAGGCACCGGACTACAGCCTATGGACTACGGTGTACAGCCTGCGGGCTACGGCGTAAGGCCTACGGGCTACGGCGAACAGCGGACGGGATACGGGCTACGGGATACTGGCAACGGCTACGGGGTATGGCGTACTGCCTACGGCGTACAGCCTACGGGGTAGCGGCTACAGGTTACGGGATACGGGATACTGGCTATACAGTCGGCGTATAACGTACGGGCGCACGGGCTTCGGCGTACAGCCTACAGCTTCAGTCTACAGGGTAAAGACTACGGGCTACGTATGTAAACCTGGTCACAGTAATTTTTAATCTATAAAAGTACGGTCACACAAATTGTTTAGTTTTTAAAAATTTATTGAAAAACTAATTTTCAAATTTATTTTTTAATTTTATAGGTTAAAAATTAGTGTGACCAGGTTCGCATAACAAAAAAGTATGACCGTATTTCCCCTACCAAAATCATAAAAAATAAGTGTGACCGTATTTTTTAGTGTGACCCTATTTTTTTGGTGTGACCGTATTTTATTTATGGAAAATTAGTGTGACCAGGTTCACATAACAAAAAAGTATGACCGTATTTCTCCTACCAAAATAATAAAAAATTAATGTGACCGTATTTTTAGTGTGGCCGTATTTTTAAGTGTGACCGTATCTTTTTAGTGTGACCAGGTTTGCATAACAAAAAAGTATGACCGTATTTTTCCAACCATAAAAATAAAAATTAGTGTGACCGTATTTATTAGTGTGACCGTATTTTATTGATGAAAAATTAGTGTGACCAGGTTCACATAACAAAAAAGTATGACCGTATTTTTCCAACCATAAAAATAAAAAATTAGTGTGACCGTATTTTCTAGTGTGACCGTATTTTATTGATGAAAAATTAGTGTGACCAGGTTCGAATAACAAAAAAGTATGACCGTATTTTTCCAACTATAATAATAAAAAATTAGTGTGACCGTATTTTATTTATGGAAAATTAGTGTGACCAGGTTCTTATAACAAAAAAGTATGACCGTATTTCCGCTACCAAAATAATGGAAAATTAATGTGACCGTATTTTTAGTGTGACCGTATCTTTTTAGTGTGACCAGGTTCGCATAACAAAAAAGTATGACCGTATTTTTCCAACCATAATAATAAAAAATTAGTGTGACCGTATTTTTTAGTGGGACCGTATATATTTTATTTTAAAATGTGATCGATTTCGAAAAATACGGTCATACTTTTTTGTTATGCATACCTGGTCACACTAATTTTAAATCTAAAAAAAATAGCGTCCGGGCCATTTACAACTTGTGCTAGACTTATCTGTTAAAAAAATTACAATAAATCTTATAATATCAAATAAATAAATAAATCTAAACAACTTAAATAACCTATTTTAAAACTATTCACAGGTAAACCTATTACAGGACAAGGTTTTCCTTAAATTAGGCCCGAAAGAGCTAGAGGGGGATTTGACCGAGTAGATTCTACGCATCCAGGCTAAAATTCCTTGTTTGCAGGTACTCCTGGCCTTTTAAAGGAAGAAAAATGTAAAAAATCTTAAAAAACTGTAAGATCATGTGAATTATCCTGTGAAAATAAACAAAAGTAAATTATTAAACTGTTATTCATTGATTTAATGGTCAGCATTTTTAGTTCCAGATCCAGGGGGGAATGGTAGTGCCCTTATTTTTGTAGCCCGGAGCCCGTAGGCTGTACCCGTAGACCGCAGTCCGAACACCGTACCCCATAGCCCGTAGGCCGTATTCTGTACCCCGTACGGAATTCGCCTTAGCCCGTACGCCGTAGCTGTACAGGCAGTACCCGTAGGCTGTACATCGAATCCTGTAGCCCGTAGTCTGTAGCCGTAGCCAGTAAGCCGTAGCCCGTAGGCTGAATGCCGTAGCCAGTATTCCGTAGCCCGTAGTCCGTACGGCATACATGCCGTAGCCAGTATTCCGTAGCCTGTATGCTGTAGCCGTAGCCAGTATCCCGTATCCTGTAACCCGTAGGCCGTAGCCCGCAGGCTGTAAATCGGAGCCTGTAGCCCGTAGCCTGTAGCCGTAGGCAGCACGCCGTAGACAGTGCCCTATAGCCCATACGCCGTAGACAGTACACTATAGCCCATTCGTTGTAGCCTGTAGGCCGTATTCTGTACCCAGTACGGCATTCGCCTTAGCTCGTACGCCGTAGCCTGTAGCCAGTATGCCGTAGCCCGTATCCCGTAACCTGTAGCCCGTAGGCTGTAGTCCGTAGCTCGTGGGCTGCCCGCCGTAGCCCGTAGGCTGTACGCCATTGCCAGTAGCATGTAGGATGTGCACCGTAGCCTGTAGCTCCTACTCCGTAGGCTGTACGCTGCAGCCCGTATTCTGTACGCTGTACGCCGACCGTAGCCCGCAGGCTGTAGGGCGTAGCCCATAGGCTGTACGCCGTTGCCAGTAGCCCGTAGGATGTGCACTGTAGCTTGTAGCTCCTACACCGTAGGATGTACGCCGTTGGCAGTAGGCTGTACGCCGAAGACCGTAGGCTGTACGCTGTACGCCGACTGTAGCCCGCAGACTGTACACCGTAACCCGTAGGTTGTACGCCGTAGCTCGTATCCCGACGCCCGTATCCCGTAGCCCGTATCCCGTAGCCTGTAGCCCGTAGGCTGTATTCCGTAGCTCGTAGGCTGCCCGACATAGCCCGTAGGCTGTACGCCAAAGCCGTACTTTGACTACTACTACTTTGACGCCGTACCCTCTACGCCCTGTGCAGCCCGTATGACGAATCCCATATTATATAGCCCGTAGCCTATCCCGTATCCGGTACGCAGCAGCCTACAGCAACAGACCCTTAGCTAATAACCGAAAGCTGGCAGACTAGTTCCTGCCTATGTCGACGCAGGATGTGATCCTGATCCCTGACTGCATTTCACACTTTTGAGAAAAATATTGTAATATCTCTACAAGGACCTAAGATGGTATAGCTTTATGGTGAACCACAGTGCACTGTGTATTTTTAGAAAAGCAACAGTAGCTATTGGCTGAGCTCTCTGGGCTGGGGGCCCTTGGATTTCAGATGGCAGCTCCTTCAGGGCGAAACAATGACGCCTCGCATTTATGTAGAGGTGCCACTCCTCCTACTACCAGTCCATGACGCCACACCGCCCACCGCCTTAACCCCTCACTGGCCCAGAGAGCTCGTTTCATACCGGATGTCGTTGACTTTTCAAGTCGCATTAGAAGCGACACGGCGGCGTCGTGGATGGGCGTCGAGATTGGATATGGGTGATGGGTGGTTCGGTGGCTCGATGGTCGGTCGGTCGGTAGGTCGGTTGGATGAAGTGCACCCGTGGCGGGGGCATAAAAATACGTGTAAGAGGCTTTCAGCTTATTGTTTGGCACTGTCGCGTTTTTATGATTGCACGCAAGACCCTGCCGGCTTAATTTTATTGATATTACACGTACTTGAAGTCGAGTCGGTCGGTCGGCCGAAGCGTCCGACATCACCGACAGGCCGACAGGTCGAGAACACACAGGAGCCAGCAATCCTCTAACGATACCCATCGTCTGGCTATTAATTTTTACGGCTTACGACCGTAACGGCACAGTTTCGCATAAACGCCCTGTAGATGCCGCCCACGCACTTGATCAATATTTTAATACTATTGGTGGTACTTACATGCTGCGATTTATTATATATTTATGTCCTGGATCCTTCATCCTGCATCCTGGTTGGATAAATCCAATTACGGTTTTATAATCAAAACCCCAGAAGTTGTTGATCTTTTTTCAGAAGCTGCTGAGAGTTCCAGAAAGATGGTGAAGAAATATTTTAAGATTAGAACTACTAGTTTTAATAAAAGAAATAAATTTCTAAGTTTTCCTTAAAAATATATATATTTCTTTGCACCAAAAATTCTTTCCAAAGTCATCCACACCAATTGGCTCCTAATGGCAACTATTCTATAACATGTGTATTATATAGTTGTTGTGCTTTCTTTTCTTGTTCTAGTAGTTTTTCTAGTTGTTGTTGTTGCTATTGTTGGGCAATAAAAATGCTACAACTTAATTAATTAAGTGCAAATGATAAAAATGACCAAACAGCACGAAACGCAATAGCAACAAACAAGCCAAACAGAGAGAGAAAAAACTAATTAAGTTTTATGTGCAATTTTCGTGGCTGAAAAGTTTCGTTTGTGTTGTGAGTGTGTGTTAGTGTGTGTCTATGGGTGGTCTACATAGGGTGGTGGTGTGGAAAGTGGCCTGGCGGGTAGAATGTGGCACGTTACGTAGCCGTCACGTTCTGTTATTTATTTTGATAGTTTGCTGTAGCTGCAGCAGTGCTTTCTCATTGTCTCTGCCCTCTATTTGTTGCCCACTCTTTATTTTATCCTATTTTACCATTTTTTTTTGCTGTCCTTTCTACTCCCTCTTCCACTTCTCTGTTTTCAACAGGAAATCTGTGCACTGACATTTGGCGCGATTAATGAAAGTTAAGCTTTGGTCCAAAGTCTTTAATTTGCGGCCATTAGAGGATGGTCAACACACACACATACAACACCAAACGAAGAGCGAATGGGGGTAGAGAAATAGGGATAGAAAGAGAATAGAAAGCAAAAAGAAAAACAAAAGAAAAAGTTAGAGTTGAAAGGACATTGGAAGCCAAAAAATAAATAAAACTTTAGACCTTAAAAATATGACAAATTAATTAGCATTTCTTGCTAAGATCCACTTTAGCTCCTTTTAGCTTATAATTTTGTTCAGTGTATTGCCAATTCAACCACAAAACATTCACAATCGTCGAAAATTCCAGTAGGCAAAAATCCATTGCCTACTTATGTGGGCAACATCAGAAACATCAGCTCGTTGCCAAATTGAGTTGCGCATTATGGGCTGAGGCTGAAATGGGGTTTGGGACTTCTCTTCTTCTGTTTTTTTCAGAGGTGGAGGTGAAGGAGGCTGTGCATGAGGGGGCGTGGCAAAGTTGGAGGCGTGTTGGCCTGTTGGAGTGTACGTGTGTTGGCATTTTCCCCAAGAGCAGGAAAAACACACTGTTGGCCCCAGCGCTTGTTTACATGCGTTTGGCGCACTCGCCAGATAAATCAGCAGCAACATCACAACAGCAACACCAGCAACAAAAACAGCATTACCCAACACGAACTGCAACTGCAACAGCAACAGCAACAACGGCAACAGGCTGACTCTGATTTAGTCAAGCCGGATTGTTAAACTAAGAACTGCAACCACGGACATGGCTAAATTTGCAACACAATTTTTCAACATTTTTATCTGATATTTTTGGCCATATATGTATAAAAGCGATGAAAAGTATTTATATTAAATAAAAATTTATAATTGTTTAACAAAATTATTTAATAAAAGTATTTATAACATAAAGAAAATTATTTCTGGCGGATACCTTTCCAGCTAGGATCGGATATATATCACAAATATCGGATAGTTGGCTGATCGTTATAAGAACTTCATCCCAAAACCAATTCATTACAATAAAAAATGTATTAAAAAATTCTGCAAATTCTCCAAAAATCTTCAAAAATACCTAAATTGGTATTTTTACCATATACTAATTTCCTATTTATTAGTTATATAGAAGCTATAGGATATAGTTGAGACTTAACCCAGGATGTAATGCTGAGAATATATATATTTTATAAGGTGGTGAATAATTTTATTTTCACAAAAATTATAATACACACTGCTATAGAAAGTCTCGATTTTTTTAAATTTTTAGACTAGAAGACCCCCTTCAGCGCGACATTCATTTGTTCGAGATAAGGCTATTACATCATTGAAATCTCTGTGATAAGTAATTTCCACTTCAGAAAAATATATAATAAATATTACCTTGTTATATATACATGATAAACAAGGTAATATATATATAATTGATTGTATATTCATATGTATATATATGTTGCCTCAATATATACCAATCTCTAATAACTTAATCTCCAATAACTTTTGACATCCCTTTCGTACGAATTCTGTCTGTGGAATATTTTGGCTTTTCTAAATGTGTGGGTAATTCCCAATTTCTTATCAGAAACTAAAGCTCAAGCTCATGGCCAAGGATGGCTATAAAAATTCGGAGCTCCAAGACTCACAGCATCAGTTCGAATATTCCCAGAGACTCTTTCAGTAGAAAGTTCTGCACAATTAAAAAAATACAAGATGATCTTCCCCGTTGCCATCATTTCTGCCATTTTCCTAATTTCTGCCTCCCTTGGATCGGAAGAAGTAATAGCCGTTTTGAGTGATTTATTTTAAAAAGTAATTTAATTTTTTATTCCACAGTCATGCTACCTCTCCGAAGAGCAGGAAGATCAATGTGCATCGGTTTGTTATCCGATCGTGAAACCTCTACTTCGATACTTCGAGAAAACCAACCAGAGGGATGCAGAGCTCTTAAAGTGCAGGGCTGATTACACAGAATTGCAGAAAGAGGGTCTCGAAAAATATTCCCATATATTAAAATTCCAACAGGATTATTCGGACTTGGTGAAAAGCCACTTGGATGTGCAAAATAAATATACTGATGTGCTGAGTCAACTTAAAGATAGTGAAGTTAAATATGAGCAGATGATAAATCAAAAAAATGGGGAAATCGACCTGCTAAAAAATCAAATTAGTGACCAAAAGAAAACAAGTGACTTTCCTAACTTGACTAATCAGTTCTGCGAAGAAATTGCCAAGTTGGGAAAAATAGTAAAGATTGGAGGAATGAATGAAAATATCGGAACAAAGTCGGAAGTAGAAACTGAAGAGGTCCCAACAACTCCACAGCCTCATATTAATAATCAGACGACGCCGAAAAAAGAAACTATAGGTTATTCGGCCGAACCAAATTATTTAAAAATTAAACCAACGAATTTTTTAGATTTTCCAGATCCTTGTCCACGAAACCAAAAAGAAGGCAAAGCTATCCTCCGCGAAATCCCACTTCCAGGCTCAGACCCTTTTAAAGTGGTTTGTTATTCACTTTGGAAGTTTGGATCTGGATGGTTGGGGGTTTATAACAAAAATTCTTATTCAGAAATATTTAATCGCGCGTATGAGGATTATGAACGTAGATTCGATGATGTAGAGACTGAAGAGTTCTTTATTGGACTGAATCGATTGCACCATCTGATCAGTGGAAACCCTCATGAAGTGCTTTTCGTCACCAGTGAAGGGGCAAGCAGATGCGACCACTTTGTTGTGGGCGATCGAAGCGAAGGGTACAAAGTGAAAAATGTTAGCAATTGTACTGGAGACGCCTGGCTGGCCCCTAAGCAGGGTTCCAAATTTTCGACCTTCGATCGAGATGAGGATGGAGTTCCTGATCGTAATTTGGCGGAGGAACTCGACTTTGGCTGGTGGTTCGATCCTAGTATGAGGTGTGTATTCTAATTTGGTTTTTCCGTTTGTTTCATACCCAACTGGACATTTCTAAAACAACTAACTCAAAATAAATTTTTAAATTCTATTTTTTTTACTATTAGCACGGACGATACTAGAATAGAAATGTTCATCCGAAGAACCGATTGAAGAAAACAAAAGGGGTTTTAAAAACGGACTTGGAAAATGAAACATTTTTGGAAAATATGTGTAATCGTAATAAGCACTAAAATGTAATTATATTATTGCTAATATTATGATGACGATTAATAGATAAACTGTACCCTTCTATTTTTTAAATTTGAATAAAATAAGCAATAAAATATGTAAAAATTAATTTTAAAAAAAGTCTGAGAAGGTCGGAAACATTTTGAATTTCAGACATTTCAGGATCAGCCCCAACGGAGCCTTTCAAAAAAAAAAACGAGCGACTCTGGTTGAGTTTTGAAAAATGGCTAACAAACTTGGCCAGCAGCTGGAGAATGATATTCTTTGGACGTTGGCCCTTCTTAAGAAATATGAAGCAGAGTCTCAACCTTCGTTGTCTAAAATCAAACAAGTTACAGAATAGCCGATCATTCAGTTGCGATCCAACCATATCCAAAAGCTTTGCTTTACTTTATGTTAAGAAATTAATTAATCCTTGATCTGAAGGAAATATATGCATCGCTTTCTTTATAAAGTATAATTTTTATTCACATTAGAAAGGAGCTAATTACAGAAACTCAAAAATTGCAGATCTAATCACATTCTTTTTCCCTTAAATTTAATTTAAGACAGTTCTGGATAAAGTATTGGAATGTATTTTAACAAATACAAATTTTTTTTCCAACTTCCCTTTCTGGAAAGCATAGAGCTCTTGAGGGAAAGGCTTGAGGGAAAATATATGGAATATAATTCAACAATTTATTGATTCATAAGTTCTCATAAAAGGAATATTTTTCAACCAACTTTCCTTAAAAAGTAATTAAACAAGCCCTATTTAAAACCATGTCTTTCTGTATGTTTCTACGCGAACTAAGTAGTCTCCCAGTTTTAAAATTTTTGCCAGCCTCTATTCCGAAAAACGCATTTCAGACGTAATAAAAGGTATAAAAATAAAAAAAAACTTGACTTATTCCTCAAGAAACCAACCAGCCCACATACATAGATGTTATTCCTGCACTCTCCCACATTTATGCCAGCAATTTGTGTTCTTTATTCAGAGGCTGCCAATGCTACTCGTAGCATGTACTCGTATGTCGGGAATTTAGTTGCATTCGAAGCTTGCCGGCAACATTGAGAAGTTGTTGAAAAATATTTGTCCTACGCCATACAGAACTCGAAGTTCTCCATCCATTCCAGACACTCGACGCATGTGGAGAGAAAGAAAACTTTCGACTTCAGTAACGCAAGTTACCTTCTAACTTTTTGATAAAAAAAAACCCAAAAACACAAAAATAGTAAAGAAAATATCAAGAAAATCCAGAAATTTGTTAACTTTTAGACCAAAAAATGGTAAAAAGGGAAGTGTGGGGCAATGGAAACAAGTTTTCATTCAAAGAATTTTGCTTTATAGCTTCGAGTCCAATTTGGCAAATCGTTCGTTTTGTGCTGGTGATAAATTTTGAAAGGCATTTTAATTGATTTCGACAAATTGAATTAAATTTGTCAGGTACTCCGGTTCGGTCAGGTACAGATATACAGCCATGCAGCCATATACATACTAAAGTTAAATAAGAGGTGTGAGCTACATCAAATATTAAATGTTCTGCCATTTGAATTATCAAATTTGGCCAGTGACAAAATGTGCACTTCTTGCATGTGAGTTTCAATTAAAAATTTACTTATTTGCTCGACAAAGTTTTATGTGTGGCATTTAGCAGAAGGTGTAGCAAGTAGCAGTGGCAGTGGCAGTGGCAGTAGCAGTGGCAGAAGTAGAAGCTGCTGAATCGAAAACTCAAATACCGAAATGCTCAAATACAAAACGACAGAACAGACAAATGAAGATGCCAACTGTTGGGATGGGTTTGGGGAATTTGAAGAAAATGGGGGACCAACCGGAAGTTTGGGGAGCCGGAGAGCTAGGAAATCAGAATGGAAAGGGTCTTCAGTTTTTCGGGAATGGGAATGAATAAATTTCCAAGCAGTTGAAATGTTGAACCAAGCAAAGTTTCTGCTTTGTTTTGGCGCCTCAGCTCAGGCAACACACATAAAATGAGCAGGGAACAGAACAAGTATGCACTGCAAAAAAATATATACTAATTTTATGCTTTTTTGAGGATAAATTATAGGGTATACAAGCTTTGAAGGTTTCAAAATTAGGTATAAAATTCAGTCAAAATTTTTATACCCTTGCAGAGGGTATTATAATTTTGTCCAAAAGTGTGCAACGCAGTGAAGGAGACATCTCCGACCCTATAAAGTATATATATTCTTGATCAGGATCACCTCCTGAGTTGATATGAGCATGTCCGTCTGTCCGTCTGTCCGTCTGTCTGTTTCTACGCAAACTAGTCTCTCAGTTTTAAAGCTATCGTCTTGAAACTTTGCACACACCCTTCTTTCCTTTGCACGCAGTATATAAGTCGGAACGGCCCGGATCGGCCGACTATATCCTATAGCTGCCATATAACTCAACGATCGGAAATGACCCAACTTTCGTGTTTTTGAAGATAGAAAGCTGGAATTTAGTACAGACTCTATTTTTGGTTAGTTGATCCAACCTACCAAATTTCATTAGGATCGGCCGACTATATCCTATAGCTGCCATATAACTGAACGATCGGAAATGACCCAACTTTTGTGTTTTTGAAGATAGAAAGCTGGAACTTGGTACAGATTATATTTTGATCCATCCTACCAAATTTCATAAGGATCGGCCAACTATATCCGATGTTTGCGATATATATCCGGTTTTAGCTGCAAGGGTATATAAACTTCGGCTCCGCCCGAAGTTAGCTTTCCTTTCTTGTCTATACTGTTTTTGTAAAGGTGAAGTGAAGTAATCGCCTAACTAATGTAATATTTTATGCCTTTTTGTGGTATACCTTATGGTGTACCTTATCAGGTATAACAAAGGCATATCTATGAGGTCTAAATTTCAAGAACAAAATTTTATTTTATTGCCAAATGAACCCTCAATTTGTTGCAGTGTAGCCACATCCAAAGACGATGCAATAGTTGAGAGCGACTGGAGCTGCCTGCGGTTTGTGGCGGCATCTTACTTGCAGCATACTTTGTACCCAACTGGAGGAGGAGGGTGGACCGACCAGGACCAGAGAAAGCGGATGGGAAGCAGATCGGAGGAAAAAGACATAACTATATAGAGCCGGGGCCTGTGTTCAAGTTTTGCAAAGGCAGCAGCTCAAGCCACAAAAATAAGAAGCGACGACAAAGTATGGCATAGCCTGCTCCTCCTGCGAAAAATTAGAACCGCAAATCATTTTGAAAACAATGCATATGCCATGTCATATAAGTAGGCAGCAGCGGCACTGGCAGTGGCAACGCTAGCGGTGGTGCAAGTGGTGGTGGCGACACCGACTTTTCTTCGAAAGGAAATGAAATAGGGAATAGAGAAGGCGGAGCGGAGCGGAGAAGCGGAATGGAGGCCTTGCCTTTCCAGGAAACTGCACAAAATTCTCATCTATTTAAGGATAACCGCAAACAAGCCGGATATCCGAGATTCAACCAATGCTAATTAGTCGGGTTGCGGCTTCTAATTGGGATTAGCATTTCTCGAAAGGAGCAACTTGTTTCATGGAATCTATGTACGTACTTCGTGATTTCCACAAACAGTCTGCTCATTATCGAAAAATATTAAATAAACATTTAAAATGCCAAAGAAATGTAAAGTCATTGTTTGATTTGAAAAGTGCTCTGCCGTGGGGGAGTTTTTGAAGGAAATATTTGTACCAAGAGGTGGCTTGCATAGAAGAAGGTAAGTTTGTATAAAAATTTATAAAATAAAACTGCTTTTAAAAAGGTCATAGCTTTGTCAAATTAATTCCAAATTATACACTATTAAACTAGTAGAAATATGTATGAAAAGTAATATGTCGAGGTTGATGTTTAATTGAAAAAATAATAAAAAGCTATGCTAATTAAAGAGGCATTAAATCTAGCTAAAAATATTGGCTTAAACTATGAAAATATTAAATTTTAAAACAAACACATAAATTTAAATATTCTTCTGAATCAGTTTGAAATAAGTCTGAAAAACAACCATAGTCTCCCATAAATGCCTTATGCAACCACCTAAACTTCAGGATTGTTTAATACGAAACTAATTAATAAACTTCAAACACCAAACTAAAGTAATATCTCAAACACAATTATTACTATTCATAAAAATATCCTCAAAAAAGAAAAATACCCCAAAAGCCCCCCACAAAATATGGACATAAGGAGATAAGAACGAGGTGTATATTTCTATGGAGTGTGGCAGGATTGAGGCTCAGAGGCATGTTAATGTCGGCTCAGACATGTCTAACACTCTATGGCTAAGCTGCAATTGCTACACCCCTTAAAAAAGGCTTGCAATTTAATATTCATTTTGTGAAAAGCCCATTTACATTTTGCGTTTGCCATTTTTCGTTTTTCCACCCCCTACCCTCGCTCTCTCCCTGTATTTCTTGCAATGTGTGTTGCACTTTCTTTTCCCGACCTCATTTCCCTCCTACTTTCTCCCCGGGGATAAGAGGGATGGAGAAAGGACCCCTCGGTTCAACACGGCGTATGCGTAATCTAAGCAGTGCTCTCTAGTTACTCCTTTCTTTCTGTTTTCTTTTTTTGTGTTTTTTTTTTTTTGCCACTGCCTTTTGTTTGACTTAATTCAACCGCAAAGGCACAAGGATGCGGGATACAGGACTACACAACTGCAGGACGAAAAAGGACGCACGGAGCACAGGACTATGGGACGACAGAACTGTATACAGTCGAAAGGGGACGCTTGCTGTGGGATATATAGGGACAAGGATTTGCGTCCGTTGACCACTTGAAAAGATTTTTAACCCGCTGTCCCGGCTTTTCCTTCCTTCCAGATTTTCCCGCTTTTCCTCGCCGCCTCCCCCATTCTGGCCGCCATCCTTCTGGGCCGGAAAACCGACTGCAGCTGTTGATTTATACGCACTGGACCATGTCAATGTCGATGCCGATCCCGGGCCGCCCTAAGGGAAGCAATCATCGCCGGGTGCCATAACCAGATGTCCGCAGAGATGTCCCCTCTCACACAGTGAGAAAAACTGACTTTAAGGGACTTTAAGGAAGAGGAGTGCCAGGCTTAAGGCTTTTAGAAGGTTTTTGAAGGATATATCTGAAGGTTCTAAATATCCTCTGAATATACGACAATGATAAGGTCGAATTATGTACCCTCAAAAACCATAAAAGTTCCTCAATTCAATCTTAATTATATCTTCACGGTACCTTAATTATACCAAAATGTCTTCCAATACTATACCTTAATTACAACTAAATTATACCCAATAGTTATAGAAAAAATTAAGCCTACATTATATATAAAACATGTCTAAATAATTCCCCAATTCTTCTCGAATAGTACACAAATTATTCTTAAATTATGCCTTATCACCATTCGCAAACTGTACACACTATAAGCTCTAATATTAAGGTAAATATTAAGGTATATAATTCCTTAATTATCCCCAATTTACACCTTATTTGTACTTACTTAATCAATATATTAAACTAGACAATATAAGCTCAAATTCTACCAAAACTATACACAACTTACGCCTAAATTATTCCTCAAATTATGCCTCAATTATTTGTATAACAATTTTACATAAAAAGTCCGTATTTATCCCTCATGTATACCAAAAGTATATCAAAGTATCATAACAATATAATATACATAATTATATATATTTTTTTTGTTATTATATATACATATATATACATATATTACCAAAATTATACCTAAATGACACCAACATAACTTAAAATTATATCAAAATTGTACCTACATTTTACACTTAGTACGCCTGAATTATGCCATAAATATATCATAATTTTACAAAAATTATACCTAAAAGATGAATTAAGTATCCTCAATGTATACCTCAATATTCGCATTTATACACTTAAAAAAAAATACAACAGTTTTATCGCAGTCATACCTCAAATTACCAAATTACCTCAAAATACCTCCATTACCTCAAAAATTGTACATAAACTACACCCTACATCATTATTCTAATACTCGGTACTTACTCAATTACCTTAACTATTCAACCTCTCCAAAAACCTCTCAGACCCCTAATACAACCCCTCAAAGTAATCTCTAAAAATAAGTAAGAATTCAAATAATATATAGTATGTATTTGTTCCTACCTTGTGTAACCGATTTAGGTCCAGAACATAATCCATTCTATGAGTTTCCATTCCGTCTGGCTGACTTTCAGGTTTCAGTAGCAGGGCGTGCCAATAAACAACCGATCCGGGTACGCCCATTGGTTCACCACAATTAGCTAGAAAGAGGTAGAAACATGCAATTAGAAAGAGACAGGCCGAGAGATGGCGATAGAACCGAAAATTGGGAAATTGTTTTTTGCGGGCGGCGAAAATAGTTATTAAAATACTTATGGACAGCTAAATGTTTAATCAATGTCCCGGCATATGCGATAATTGGGGGCGTGCCGGGCTCCATGGGCTGGTGTCCTGGTGAGATGGTGTCGTTGTGAAATATTTGGCCGTTGGCCACAAAAGCCCGGTTTACTGCCCAGCCAGCGAGAATGCAATTGAAATGCAAATATTAATTACAATCAAATAGGCCGAAAAGAACGTGGTGTGTTTGATTTCTGAACCATACTAGTTTCCGATAGTCTTGTGTAGTGTTTTGTGGGAAACTCTTCGATCGAACCTCGCTAGCCTCTCGCAGGGCAGGGCAGCTTTATGAACCGTTCACGCAACGTGTCGCGTTGTAAATAGAATTTGTGCATAAAATAAAATTATGCATTCATAAAGCAGCTGCAGTCCGTAGGACCATAAAACACTGAATCGTCGCTGAATGCAATTTTCATTCCCCACAGCCGTCAGTATTGTGTGAAAAAGAGTGGGTTCTGTACATACTATATGTACATATATACCCCAACCACTAAACCATAGATGCCTCCTACCTTCTTTTTTTTTTTTTGAAAACCAATGCATGCACATCCCGTACTTTGTGTCTGATTTTCCTTTTCCATTCAATTCGGAACACAAGGCAAGTCCATTCAAAGTCGGAGTCAGTCAGTCCATTTTTCCATTTTCCCTCATCCAGCCATGCCTCACTCGAACTTCATGGAAACTTAAACCACATACCCACCCACACATGTCTTTCAAATCGGACTCTATGACCTCCGGCATCCTGTCCAGAAACACATGTCATTGAAGTTTATGAAATATTTCGAAATAATTGCACCAAAAAGGAGAGATCTTTGTTGCTTTTAAAAAATAAATGTTAAAAAAGAAAAAAGAATTTTAAGACTAAAACTTTCTCATTACTATAATTCACAAAGAAAATATCGATCTACACACTTATTGTTTGAAATTTAAAAAGACTTGTTAGGAATTTGTAAAGATTTGTTACAAATATCATTCCAAAGATGTAAAATTTATGGTAGTAGTTTTCAGTTTCTCAAAGGACATGCCGGGAAAGGTAATTTATACTTCGCGTCTTTAGAACAAGTCGCTACTTAAACTCGTTGCTTCTCAATCTCGTCTCTATAACTCGCTGCTTCCAGCACTCGCTGCTTCTAGCACTCTCTGTCTCTTCTCTCTCTAGAATTCCCCTAAGAATCGCGTTCCAAGCGCCGCTGAAAGGTCCTGGCCACCAAATTGTAAGAGTCCATAAACCGATCCATGCACAAGTTGAGACAGCGCTTCTCCTTGGCCTGGAGCTCCTCCGAGGGACGCTCGACGCACTTCCGGAAACAATTCTCGCATATCCGGTCCAGCATATGACTGACATGATCTATGGCTGCCTGCTGCTGGATCTTCTTCTTGAAAGTGTCCTTGGTGCTCTCCTTATGACTGGTTTCCTCCATTTTTGTATCGTTTAGCTCTAGCTTCGATTTTCCAATTTTCCAATTTTCCGATTTTCGGTATAAATATTTTCCTATTTCTTTTCGAAATTGTTATGTGACTTGTCAGGCAACTGGGCTCTGTCTGATTTAAGCAGCTAAGCATAAGTCGGGGCATGTGAAATCGTCAGGTTTCATGGCTACCTTGGATCACCTCGACCATAAACGGATTATAATGCGTGAGCTGGGCCCGGCCCCGTCCCCCATTGGACACCTGACCGCCGGCGCTGCCTACTTATGCCAGACCAGAGTTGGGCAGTTAAACCGCTTACGGATGTGCCCCGCCCCCATGCCACAGATTTTCAGATTTGCTTTAAACGGTGCACTCGGAATAATATTTATAATAAATGGCTATAATGAATATAGGGTAGATAAAGGGAAGTACGAGCTAAGGAAAACCATAAGTAGATGGTAGTTTTCAGCTTTAGGTATAAACTTAACTGTTTATTAAAGAAATTGAAAGATTAAGAAATAACTTAATAAATAATCTATTTATCTAAAAATGTAATTGGTACCTTTATAATATATTTTTATCATGTTTATTATTTATCACTCCTTAAATAAAAAACCATACCTAGCTGTAGTTCTATAGAAGATTTAGAAACTTGTTCTATATAGTTAGAAGTCAGATCTGAGTGCTATATAGTATCTAGGCATAAAATATAAAAAGAAAAAAAAAATTTATAATGGCATCTTTTTAAAAATAGGTATTTTATGAAAAAAATAACAAAAAAAATCTTCGTTTTTTATTTAATAAAATAAACCTTTAAAATGATATTAAATAATTTCAAATTTAATATTAAATTGTGTTACAAATGCAAAGCTTTTTATGCAAAAGTATACTTTAAAGGTGATAAATCCAATTGTTAGGTTATTTTTTATTAAACTAATAAAATTATATAAAATTATTTTAATCCAAGTGGAAAGAATTTAAATTAAAGAATAAAATGCTTAATACATAATGATTGGATTTATGGCCTTTATTCATGAAAAGGGTGCTTTAAGCTGCATATCAAGCATTTTTTAGGCAGTACGTAAGTTGTTATATATATTGTACTCATATAAGGATAAATAATAAAAATAAATAAATAAAATAAGTCCTTAAATTTTTGTAATAAATTCATGTTTAATAAAAACTTGGTATTTGGTAAAGGTGGAGAAACATATAAATTACAAGATAATTATTCCAATTCAATCTTCAAATTGCTCTTTAAAGATTATATTCTTCATTATTTTCTTCTTTATCTTTTCTCTGTTATTTTTTTTTTAATTTAATCCAATTTGAATCGTAATTTATAAGTAAGAAAACTGCTAGTTAATCATTAATTTTAATCCTTACTTGTTACAAAGAAAAGTTCTAGTAATAAATTGTTGTTTAATTTAGTTAAATTTAAAAACCATTTTGCCAAACCAAATAAAGTTTGTTGTAATAAAGTTAAGAAAACAAACCAATGAAAAAGCAAATCCCCCGAATGCCGAGGCTTATATTTTGCTCGAGTGTAACCATCCAGCGGGAGCGCTTCCTGAGCTTTGTGGAGGAAAAGTCCATTCTGTCACGTTTTATATTGATATTTAAAAAAATAAAAAAAATACAGTTGGGGTAGCAAGGGGTGGCACTTTTTGCTTTTTGGGGTTTCGGGAGCCGCAACTAACAACTAAACAAAATGGCAAAACAAATTTCAGCGCGTTTTATGCCGCTCAGCACGTAGGCGGCTGGTTGGGAATCGCTAGAGGAGGGTTTTGGGGAAATCTAGCGGAAAGAGGATGGTGAGGGGGGGTGGAAAGAGAGCTGGCTGGAGGGGGCAAGTACTTTTCACGTGGCAGCCACGTAGCAAATGGCAGTGGCGAAACGGAAATTGCAATTGAGTGCAAATTGCAAGAAGAAAAGGGCTCACAGTTTGGCTCGTGAATTCTGCACTCTGCTCTCCGGTCTCTGGCTCTTGTATGTCCTGTACTGTCCTATACCGTCCTGGTTCTGCTCTCCCCCTTGGGCCACCGGACTTACTAAATTTTTAATGCCCGCGCAGTGATTTAACCCCCTCGTGAGCCTCGTGAGCTACCTACCTACATACCTACCTACCAAGGTAATGAATAAATCTGACCATCTTGAGTCACGCCACGCCCCCGGAGGCGGCTTTAATGATTAACCGCCATCAGCCCCGGAGAAAGGTAAACAATACATCAGCCACGCCTTCAGCACATACACAAGAGCATACAACCTGTATTGAAAGTATCATTGTTTGTTCGCCGCCTTCGACTTCAGCGCCCGTTTGTCACGTTCTGGGCGCGATTTTTATCGCCTGAAAGTCGCCCTTGCGCCGCCAGCCAGAAGAAGGCTTTAATTAAATTTCACAGCGAAAATTTCACACATTTTTGCACCTCTTGAAGTGCAGCGAACGGAATGCCAAATATTTCCTGAAAATTGTAGGTTTTAGGAAAAGGAATAAGAGCTTGTAGTAGGGAAAGGTAAAAAATTAGTAGGACATACGAGGCGTATTCTTAATTTGAGGCATGAATATTGTAATATTATTAGTTTTATAGTAGGGCGTACTTTCAGTTATGGGTTTTATATTACGGAGCTTCCTTTACTGGCGCTACAAAAAAAGGCAGGAGGGGGCGTGGCAAAAATTTTGAAACAAACTTGAACTGCGTGGTATTATAAGAGTCTTCAAGACAAATCCTACAGCTCTATCTATTTTGGTCTCTGAGATTCACGCGGCTATATCGACTCGGCTGTTGATGCTTATCAAGAATGTATATACTTTATGTGGACAGAGATGATTCCTTCTCTATTTTACATACATTCACACAAATAAAATATAGAATAAAAAGTTTTAGTTTTTGTTAGTTTGTGCGGATATTTAAGAAATATTAATTCCAAGTTTCAAGTGATTCGGCTCATTGGAACTTGAAATATGGTAGTTATTTCGAGAAACCCGGTCTACTGTCCCGAAACTAAAGACGCACTCGCTTTGAAAATAGTTTAATTTTTAAAAAGCCTCTGGGGAGATATACTAGAATATTTCAACTGAAGAACTAAAAATATGATTTTCATAAATTTGTAAACTAGAAGACCCCCTTAAGCGCGACATTCATTAGTTAGAGATAAGGAGACTGTTGCGTCATTTAAATCTCTTTGAAGAGTACTTTCCATTAGGGAAGTAATAAATAAGGTAATATATAAATAATTTATTGTATATGCATATATACAAATGTATGTATATATAACCTCAATATATATCAAGAAGAAAAAGAAGCTAAGAACATAAGCCATGTCTTGTTGCTAATCACCTCTCTCTAATCACCAATAACCTTTGACATCCCTTCCGTACTCATTGTGTCTGTGAAATATTTCGGCTTTTCCATATGTGTGGGTATGTCCCAATTCCTAATCAGAAAATGTGAAGCTCAGTTTCAAGTTTAAGCTTATGGTCGAGGAGGGCTTTATAAAGCCGGAGCTTCAAGACTCGCAGCATCAGTTGAAACATTTCGAGAGACTCTTTCGGTACAAAGTTAAGTTCAATAAAAAATCATACAAGATGATCTTCCCCGTGGCCCTCATTTCTACGTGTTTCCTAATTTCTGCCTGCCTTGGATCGACGACGTCGAAAACAGAAAGCATAGGTGAGTTGGCAGAACACAACAATTTGCAAACTAAACCAACGAGCTTTTCAGATTTTCCAGATCCTTGTCCACGAGACCAAAAAGAATTCCATGTCCTCCGCGAAATCCAACTTCCAGGCTCAGACCCGTTTGAAGTGAATTGTATTTCCCATTCGATATTTGGATCTGGATGGTTAAGTGTTTTTAATAAACGTCATCGTGCACCAATGAATACACACACGTATGAGGACTTTGAACGTGGATATGGCGATATAGTAACTAGTTTCTTGAATGAGTTCTTTATTGGACTTAACCGATGGCACCATCTGACGAATGGCAAGCCTCATGAAGTGCTTTTAAACACCTATCCAAGACCAATCAGATGCGACAACTTTGTTGTGGGCGATCAAAGAGAAGGTTACAAAGTGAAAAATATTGGCAATTGTTCTGGAAGCGATGTATGGATGATCCCTAAGCAGGACTCAAAATTTTCCACCTTCGATCGAGATGAGGATGGAGATCCTGGTCGTAATTTAGCGAAGGAAGTGGGCTATGGCTGGTGGTTCGATCCTAGTATGAGGTGTGTATTCTTATATAGTTTTTCCTTTCGTTTCATCTCCATCTGGACATTTTTAAAATAACTAACTTGAAATCATTTTTAAATTCTATTTTTTCATTGCTGGAACTATTAGCCCCAAGAGCCCCGATTCAAGCTATTCCTTTTACATTTATATCCGAAGAACAGATTGAAAAAAAAGCCTTTTAAAACTGACTTGGAAAACGAAACATTTTTGAAAACTATATGATATCTTAATATACACTAAAATATAATTATATTATTGCTAATATTATAAAGACGATATGTAGATACACTATACTCTTATATTTCTTAACTTTTGAATAAAATAAAAAATTAAAATATTTAAAAATTATTGAAAAATAATTGTTTTTACTGCAAAAAATTTGAGAAGATCGGAAACATTTTGAATTTCAGACATTTCAGGATCAGCCCCAACGGAGCCTTCGAGGTGGCCCCTTTAGCCCATCCAACAATGTGTATATTGTGTAATCTTTAATATGATATAGGCTCGGATATAGTCTTTTTGATTTGGCTAAATTGTGTGACTAACTTAAAGATGAGATATCTCGCAATACTGTCTGTCACCCAAAAAGCTATATAGCTTTTGTATAAAGTTACCAGGAAAAAAGCTAGAGATTTTGATATTGATATAAAAAATCCGACATCTACATCATATTTTTTTTTGTCATTTGAACGTAACTTAAATTTCTTTTCGTTTTTTTTCGAATTTGGTATCCGAGCTATAAAATAATTTCGTTAGCATGGAGAATCGCCAAACAAACCAAATACCATCCGATTACATTGAAGAATTTTCGAACTTAAAGAGGAAATTGGAAACCTTATGGGACAAACAGTATGCCGAAGACATATATGAAAATATGAAGGAGCAGGAGCAGCGTCGATGTAACCTATCATTTTATTCTACGCCACTTGGTGACCGCAATAGATTGATCAACCTTATGGAAAGGATAAATAAATCGTTCAAATTCAACCACTGCACTATACACCTGGCCCTGTACTATATGGACTGTATACATCAAGTATATAGAATCAAGAGGGACAAGGTGGTGATGATGATGCTCGTATGCATCCATCTTGCCGCCCAAATCGAGGACACCGTTACAACTATTCCTCGATTCTGTGATATGAATATAGTAGTCGGCAATGTCTATAACGTTCGCGAGTTCAAGTCTGTGGAGCGTAGGATTCTACGCTTCATGAAATTCGAAATGCTGCGTCCCACCACCGCCAGTTTTGTGCAGCTTTTTAGTACTCGTTTCCTCACCCAGGATGATTTTGTGGGCTACTTCGAAGAGATGAAACGACGTCCAATCTACGAAAAGTTTCCCCGTTACATCAGCTTCGAACATATGTATCTAGAAATACTCTGCAAGCTGCACAAGGTGTCGGACTATACACTGAAGATACCCGAATTTTGCAGCGTACCTCCATCGATGTTGGCGGCCGTCTGCATCGCATTTGTGCGAAAGATAAGCTTAATAGAACCCTGGACACCCTATCTACAGGAGCTGACTGGATATAGTGAGTCTCAAATAGAGCCATACCTCAACCCCCTACGACTGTTCCATGAGGACGAGATTCGTAATGAGCGTACGAATGTCCGCTGTCTGCTTCCACCTAGCCATCTGTCAGCTGGCCAAGAACAAAATATCCACAACAAGCCAACCGGAGTAGTTGAAAACAACAATAATATTAACGTTCAGCCCGAGATGCCACCTCCTGAATTGCCGACAACTTCTAAGCGTCGTCAGCAAATGAACGATGATGTCGAGCCCCATTTTCATCCCAGCAAGAAGCAGAAGAAACATTAGATTTAAAAAATTGACAATATAGTATAGTAGTATTAGTATTTCAAAAACCAATCAACAAGGAAAATTATAAATGCTACTACCTGAGGCCTGAAGCAAAACAAGCCACAGGCGGCTATAACATCCAAGCGAGCAAGCAGTTTACTGCTTACCTTCTTATGTAAGCAGTTATAATGAAGACCAATCACAGAACAGCTAACCTAACTACAATCTACTGTCATCGAACACATTAAGACTGGTCCTCGCGAGTGGTCATCGCACACAGTAAGACTGGTCTAAATTGGAACAGAACCTAATATCAGGCCTATCAAATAAGAAGCCCTATACTGAATTCACCTCAAACCATGCAAGCTGTTGACTTCTTAGATGATAGCTCAAGCAGTTTCAACAAAAACCATCACAAGCCTAAACTAAAATACAAACTACACTACAACTACTGTTGTAAGCCTACGCTAATATAAAAACTAAACAAAAAAAACCATTTTCTAGAATGATCTCACATTATAAAAATGTCCCTAAGCAAATACTATCTCAAATATAAACCACAAATTGTATCTACTGTTTTTCTATGAAAACTATGAACCCAAGAAAACTTTTATGGGTATGGGTATTATGGGTATATTATGGGTATTCTTGATCATCCAAAATAATGAATTATAAAATAAGTAGATTTTCCTAAATTTTTAAACTAGAAGACCCCCTTAAGCGCGACATTCATTTGTTAGAGATAAGGCGGCTCTTACGTCATTGAAATCTCTTTGAGGAGTACTTTCCATTTGGGGAAAATATATAATAATGTGTATAATAAATAATGTAAAATATAACTAATTGATACATGTGTAAATATGTATGTACATATATATAGCCTCAATATATACCAAGAAGCAGAAGCTAAAAACATAATCCAGGTCTGGTTGTTAATCACCTATCTGTAATCTCCAATAACCTTTGACATTCCTTACGTACGCATTCTGTCTGTGGAATATTTTGGCATTTCTATATGTGTTGGTATGTCCCAATTCCTTATCAGAAACTAAAGCTCAAGCTCATGGCCGAGGTTGGCTTTAAAAAGCCGGCGCTTCAAGACTCGCAGCATCAGTTGAATTATTTCCAGAGACTCTTTCGGTACAAAGTTAAGTTCAATTAAAAAAATACAAGATGATCCTCCCCGTGGCCCTCATTTCTACGTGTTTCCTAATTTCTGCCTGCCTGGGATCGAAAGAAGTAATAGCCGTTTTGTGTGTTTTTATTTAGAAAATTAATTTAATTTGGAATTCCTCAGACCTGCCATCCCCTGGAAGACGAGTGCGAGACCATTATTGTGCAACGGTACTTCGAGAATTGCCACAAGAAGGATGACCTACTCTTAAAGTGCAGGACAGACTTCTCGGAACTTCAGAAACGACATTCAGACTTGCAGAGCAAGGATGCCCAGAATTCAAAATTCCAACAGGGTTTTTTGGACTTGATGAAAGACCATTTGGAAGTGCTGAGTAAACTTAGAGATAGTGAAGTTAAATATGAGCAAATGATAAATCAAAAAAATGGGGAAATCGACCTGCTAAGAAATCAAATTAATGACCAAAAGAAAACAAGTGACTTTGCTAATTTAACTAATCAGTTCCGCGAAGACATTGCCAAGTTGGAGAAAATAGTAAACATTGGAGGATCGGATGAAAATAATCTAACAAAGGCGGAAGTAAAAACTGGAAAGCTCCAAACTACTCCGCTGCTTAATATTAATAATCAGACGACATCGAAAACAGAAACTATAGGTGAGTGTGCAGAACCCAATCATTGGCAAAATAAAACAAAACATTTTTTTAGATTTTCCAGATCCTTGTCCAACAGACAAAGAAGAACACCAAGTCCTCCGCGAGATTCAATTTCCAGGCTCAGACCTAGTTAAAGTGGTCTGTTATGCGTTTGAGGAGCTTGGATCTGGATGGTTAAGGGTTTATCATAAAGATTCTTTTTCACAAACATTTAATCGCACTTATGAGGATTATGAACGTGGATTCGGAGTTGTTGGAACTAAGATTACAAACGAGTTCTTTATTGGACTGAATCGATTGCACTATTTGACCAGTGGAAAGCCTCATGAAATGCTTATGTGGACCTTTTCAGGCCATAGCAGATGCGAAAACTTCGCTGTGGGCGATCGAAGCGAAGGTTACAAGGTGAAAAGTATTGGCAATTGTACTGGAGACGATGTATGGATGAGCCCTAAGCAGGGCTCAACATTTTCAACATTCGATCGAGATGAGGATGGAGTTCCTGGTCGTAATTGGGCGGAGGAACTGGAGTTTGGCTGGTGGTTCGATCGTGGAATGACGTGAGTATTCTAATTTGGTTTTTTGTTTTTTTAGTCCCCAACTGGACATTTCTAAAATAACTAACTCGAAATCATTTTCAAATTCTATTTTTTTATTGCTGGATATATTAGGCCTAATGATGATCCCATTATCTTGTACATCCGTAGAACAGATTGAAAAAAACAAAAAGCCTTTAAAAACTTATGAGTTTTGGAAAATAAATGTATGCTTAATATGCACTAAAATGTAATTATATTATTGCTAATATTATAAAGACGATTATTAGATAAACTGTACAATTATATTTTTTAACTTTTTAATAAAATAAACAAATAAAATATTTAAAAATTAATTAAAAATAATTGTTTTCACTGCAAAAAGTTTATGAAGGTGGGAAACATTTTGAATTTCAGACATTTCAGGATCAGCCCCAACGGAGCCTTTGAGAAATAAACGAGCGACTCTGGTTGAGTTTTTAAAAATGGCTAACCAACTTGCCCAGCAGCTGGAGAATGATTTCTTTTGGACGTTAGCCGCTCTTAAAGCTTAAACTCCAAAGATATGAATTCTTATCAACAATTTCTTGTTGCATACTTTTTTCCTTGCAAAAAAAAGGCTTACTACTCCTACTTAAGCTTTAGACTGAAGCGTCTATAACTTCTCTAAAAATGATCCATTAATAAATTAGTTTCTATATGTTACATAAACTCACACGTATACAATATACCCTTGTACTCTACGAGTAATGGGTATAACAAGTATACTTTTAAATAAAAATGTTTTCTTAAACAAATGCTCGTGTGTTTGCCTTTGTTGTAGGGCTTGAAGCCCGAATGCTGAGTTAGTAACTAATTTATTCATGGTCCTGGCGAGACGAGGCTTATCGCTCATCAAGCGGACTTTAGCAATGGACCTCACTTCCCCCCGACCTCACAGGGAGATATTTTTTTTTTTGGGGAAAACATCAAATATTTGCCCAGTTTAGACCAGAAACACAAAAGGACTCGGCAGGACAAAGGAACGCGCTTCGATTGCCTGGCACTGCGTATACGTAATAAATAAATAAAATGCCAATGAAATCGGGGGACCCTACGACGAATACCAGGCCCTACCGAGGCCCCTCGGGGTGCCCAACCAATATCGAACAGAATTAAAAACCAACGACCGAGGCGGTCGAGTCGCGGGCGGGTAGGACACAAAAGTTTCGCTGGCAAAATGGGAAATTGAAATCGCTTTGGTTGCAATCGCTAATGAAATGCGATAAAATGAACTGAAACTGAAAATCGAACTAAAATCAAAAGGAAAATGGGCGGACATTTTGCGCGGCCAATGGTTTGGGATTTCGGTGCGGAAATTAGTAAAAGTTTTCTGCCCAACAGCCAGGGCAGCTGGGCGGGATGGTGTGTCAAGGATATAGTCGCTTTTGGCGACTTCCTTTCTCTGGCTAATTTCCAGTGGCAGCGCCCCGAAATGTAAATCAAAACTGCAGCTCCAAGTGCCACACTAATTAGATTAAGTTGAAGCAGCAGCAGCCATGGCAGCAGCAACGCCAAACGGCTATGGCGGCTAAGAAGTAAAAAAAAAACCCCCCAAAAATATACATATACAGTGAGTCACAAAAAGCTGTTGACAATTTGGAATTTTGTTTTTGCCTCTCTAGCCTGATGAGCGAAATATTTTCAATTGCAGTGAGAGAAATTTATTATTTTTTAATATTAAAAGATAGGAATAAAGAACTCGTTAGAAGTTGATATCTTTTGGTAGGGGATTTTAGACATAAATGGTCCTAAATTAACCACATGATAGTCCTTAATAATCATCTACAATATTGCAATTTTGTTAAATTATATATTTGTAATAATTAGATTAGTATGTATATAGACCCAAGGGTGCAAAGTATTGGGAATATCCTGAGTCTATGTCGTTGTCAACTGGCATCCGATTCTCAAGCGCAATATCTAACAAGATTTTCATATCGATTAGCAGTTATATTTTATTAACAAGAAATATGACAGACATCTACAGACATAGATTTTTCTACATGTTCCGTGAAACCCCATATCTTACAAGATTTTCAGACCGATTCTCAATCAATTTCAATCAAAACCTCGATACATCCTTGATTTGTATTCCCATTTTTTAAATTTTTCCTAGGAGTATCTTTTGCAGAATACGGTATCCAGCATTTTCACATGTAATTTCGGACTATGTCCATATCTTTGTCAATTTTAATCCGACTCTTAAACGGAATAAATAATTTTTTCAACAAATCCCCATTTAACTCAGCTCAAAAAACTCGATCAAATATTTTGGATCCCAATTTTCCCAGGACCCAGGATATCCATAGATGACCGCAAAATATATCCATATCTTTACCTATTTCCATTCGATGTCCCAGAGGACGATCTTTAACTGGATTTCTGGATTGATTTCTCATTAATCTTTATCATCTTTATTTTTGAAAGTTTTCCTAATTTTTCTGCTTTTGATTTATGGCCCTGTCCATATCTTCACTAACTTCTATCCGATTCCCACGCTGAGTATCTTAAACGATTTGTGGATAGATTCCCCCACCAATCTGCATTACAACTTCAATAGAAAATATTCTATTCGTATTTCTCAAATTTTTTCTAGGAGAGCTTTAGTAAAATGTGGTATTTTTGGAAAGTAGCTTCGAACTATCGTCCATTTCTTTCCCATTTCTAGCAGATCTTTTAAAGAATACCTTCGACCATTTGCCTTGAAACCTCGTCACAATATGTTGAAGCCCCATTTTTTTTTTTTTTAATTTTTCTCTTATTCGTTTACTTAGATTACTAGAATAGTCTTAAAACTTGGACTTGAATCAGCAAAACGAGACTTAATAGAGAGCGGGATTTAAAGCTCAAATCCTCAGAGGAATAAAAATATATACACCAATACCTATTTTTATAAGAATCAAAATAAAACGATCGATAGGACAAGATAGATAGATAGTGATAATGATAGAAATTGGTAGATAGGCTCGACTATTCTTTGAAAAAAAATAAAGTATTTAAACATAACCATTGTTCTTTTCTTAAACCCCCAAACCTCCCTCAAATATTAATATATTTGTAAGACCTCTCCACTTGTTTCTCCGAGTGCCTGAAAAGCTACGATATTATTTGGCATACTATGTATATAGCCCCGTTTATATATATTTTTGACTTGGCGCCAGAGTTTGAGAGTTTCTTGTCCCTGCTCCTGTCTCCGTAGCTGCCACGTCTTGCTTAATTATTTCCTTGGGTAGAGCAAACAATCAACATAATTTCTGACACGCCTTCGCCTCCCACGCGGTCGCCAGCTCTGACTCCTCCTAGTTCTCCTCGTTCTCCTCATTCTCGTTCTGTTATCCATTCATCCTTGGCAGGCAGGAAGGCAGGCAGACAGGCCGGCAGGAGGACTGGATGTCCTTGTTTGTGTTGTTCGTGACAAAATGAAAAATGTTGAAAGTTGCAAGTTGCGGATGAAACTTCTCATTAGCTGCAGTCCTTGGTGTACGAGTCCTGGTCATTGATTGCTCTTTCCGTGGCCACTGGCCAGGCTAACAAAATTTCAATGGCCTTTTAATCGTTGGCCATTTAGTCTCTACAATCTATACAATGTAAGAGCAAGGCAAAAGCATACAAAAAGCAAACCAGGAAAAGGCACCAGGAAAAGGCTAAACAGGTGAGGGTCAGGCATCGGTTTTGTTGGGGGAAAAACAGGGACAGTTTGCTTTGCCAAAACACTTTCCCTTGTTTGCATTTAAATTTCGTTTTCAATATTACCCAGCAAGCTGCATAAATTATCTCCCACAAACTCAGCTGTTTTTCAACACTTTCCTTTCATATATCCTTTCCATCTATGTTTATGTATGTGTGTGTGTGTGTGTGTATGCACAACTATAACTATCGATCTCACTTAAGCCTCCTGGGTAGTGGAGGTCCTGGTCCTGTCTGGCCAGGCCATATGCAAACTGGCAATAAAATTTAAATATTTTCCATATAAATCAAATCGATGGAAATTTTCGGGACAAAGCAAGGTGCCCACACACACACTATACCCACACACTCACACAGGCACCGGCACATTTGTATCCTATAGCCAGGATGTCTGTGTGACTCGCCGACACATGCCATGGCTAAATGGATAAGAGGACAGGAGAGTTGGGTTTGCCGGGGAGAGCTGACTGCCTGGCTGCCTGGCTGGTTGGGGAGTGGTGGCCACTACCCATTGCCTGAAGCGTCAACGCCCCAAGGACCCGTTTCCGTTTTGCCAAAATGCAGCTGGACAAGTAGCGGCTCGCAGCCTCACGAAAACCCAAATTCAAATAGAGTTGATCGATTTTTGGTTAAAATTTTGATACAAATCGGTTTCATTTAAGCCAAGGCTTCAACAAAATATCTTAATGTCCTAATATCTAATAATGATATAACTTGATTGCAATTTTTAATCTC